TTATACCTTAAAACCTAATTCTAGACTTGATGAAAAGCGAAAACAAGAACGAATTGACCATAATGAACGACGAAATAATGTAAACTCAACGAGAGCGAAATTCAAAGTGAGCGAAAGAAAAATGTTCAGAACGTGATATCTTTTTCGGTTACTCTCATATTCACGTGCATGTCGGTATTTATCCCCTGTTGACAAGTCTATTTGTCAATAATTACTGACCCTCATAAAATCCTATTGTTCTCTCTCAGCATTATATCGGCGATTTCAGCCTGAGAAAATATTCAATATGAAGGGGCGACTGAAATCGTCGATGTATTATTGGGTATAATGCTGCGAACCTCAGTAATTATCTATTAAATATCTATTTGTTTCACGTATTAAAATTCTTTGATTACCGGATACCCAGATTACCTTTCGAGATTGTCGCGTGCACTTTGCCCTTTTTGCAAAACGAGACCAATAGGCCTATTGGCGAACATCCTTGTTATAACAGATCATGATTATCTTAGACACCAAAACAAGAAAATTACTTTCTTATTTGCTCGTCGCAATTTAAAATCTTTCCGATTGAAACAGAATTAATTAATTTTTCCACTCGAACATTGGAATCGCAAATGTAAATCAAACAAAATCAGAAAATTTGATAGTTCACCAAATCAGAAAAGTTATCATGTTTTTTTTTATTTTCTTGTTTAATTCTTTTAAGTATTTTGCTTTCGAGTTTCATGAACAATAACAAACATATTTGAAATCTGTACAAGAAAGCGCAATGGGCAAGATGCTGACGTCACAATCCAATCAAAGGGAATTCTAATGATGCTCCAGATACTAACGTCACAATCCAAGGAAAGAAAATTCTAAAAGCACAGTATAACTAATGCAACAAACCAATCAAAGAGAATTATAAAAGTGACTTAGTTGCTGATGTAACAATCCAGTCAAAAAGAATTCTAAAAGTGCACTAGATACTAACGTAACAATCCAATCAAAGAGAATTCTAAAAGTGCGCAAGAAACTAGCATAACAATCCATTCAAAAAGAATTCTGAATGTGCACGAGATACTAACACGTAACAATCCAATCAAAGAGAAATCTAGAAGTTTGCAGGATAAAAACGTGACAATCCTATCAAAGAAAATATTCTAAGACTGCACAAGATACTAACGCAACAATCCAATCAAAGAGAATTCTAAAAGTGCGCGAGGAACTGACGCAACAATCCAGTCAAAGAGAATTATAAAAGTGTGCGAGGAACTGACGCAACAATCCAGTCAAAGAGAATTATAAAAGTGTGCGAGGAACTGACGCAACAATCCAGTCAAAGAGAATTATAAAAGTGTGCGAGGAACTGACGCAACAATCCAGTCAAAGAGAATTATAAAAGTGTGCGAGGAACTGACGCAACAATCCAGTCAAAGAGAATTATAAAAGTGTGCGAGGAACTGACGCAACAATCCAGTCAAAGAGAATTATAAAAGTGTGCGAGGAACTGACGCAACAATCCAGTCAAAGAGAATTATAAAAGTGCGCAAGATACCAACGTAACAATCCAGTCAAAGAGAATCCTAAAAGCACGCAAGATGCTAACGTAACAATCCAATCAAAGAGAGTTCTAAAAGTGCACAAGATACCAGCGCAACAATCCAATCAAAGAGAATTCTAAAAGTGCGCAAGGTACTAACGTAACAATCCAATCAGAGTTCTAAAAGTGTGCGAAAAACTAAAGTAACAATCCGATAAAAAGGAATTCTAAAAGTGCGCAGGATACTAACGTAACAGAACAGCTAAAAGAATTCTAAAAGTGCACAACATACTAATAAAACAATCCAATCAAAGAGAAGTCTAAAAAAGTACAAGATACTAACGCAACAATCCAATCAAAGAGAATTCTAAAAGTGCGCGAGATACTAACGTAACAGAACAGCTAAAAGAATTCTAAAAGTGCACAACATACTAACGCATCAATGCAATTAAAGATAATTCTAAAAGTGCATACGATACTTACGTAACAATCCATTCAAAAATAATTCTAAAAGTGCGCGAGATACTAAGGTAACAATCCAGTGGAAGAGAATTCTTTAAATGCCGGCATCATATACTAATGTAACGTTCATTAATCATATCAAAAAAACAGAAAAACTAAGTGTTGATTTGAACTTATAGATGTATATTTCCCTAATAAATGTCAATTGTCAAAGGCTCTAAAAATTATTAGCCAATCGACAAAATCGAAAAAAAAAAAAATTAACCGTCAACGGTCAAAGCTTCGTAGACCCTACCTTAAGACCCCCCTAGTCTTTGTTAAAAGAGCTCCTTTTTTATGAGTTTAGTCATGAATAATGATTGCTTTGCAAAAGTTAAGCATCCTGAATAGCACTGCAAATTTTTCTGCTCGAAGCCAAGGGCAGTATTACATCTATTTGGAGATAATAAAAGTAATAATCTTTGTGTTAAGCCAGGGTAGATTCAGACAAGAAAGAATTCAAGATCTTGGATGAGCCCCTGGGCAAACACGAAGCATACTTAAACCTTTTAACTTTTCTCATAAGTATTTAAAAAGATGTAGGAAAAGTTTAATTTGATAAGCTAGTTATTGCTTTTCCTTTTAATTGTAACAATGGTCCACATCGTGATAAAAAAAACATCTCGGTCCGGCACAATTTCTGCTTACAAGTTTTATGTCCTTTAATGTTATTGAACATCAGGAAATTTCAATGTAGACACTCACTAGACATTCAAAAAAAAGTGTAGTTATTGGGTATAGCTAAGCTAACTTTGATTGTTGGTCTTCTATCTTAGGATACATGGGTACATGGGTATTTTCAAGACATGGGTATTTGACAAACTGTTGTTATGGTAATTTTTATACTAATGTCTGCCACTAAGAGATGTAGAGCGATAGAATCGCTTCATTTCAAACTCAAATTTGTCTTTAGTTTACCAGATTTGTGGACTTAGATGTGCTGATCCGTTGCAAATATGAAACCCCATCTAATTGGATGTTATTCTTACATAAAGAACGAATTTCTTGCTTCTAAATTCCATAAAAATTCTTGCATCTAAAGTCACGTTCAAGTAGAACTGTCATGGCGGCTACCACAGACGATTTATCTTAAACTGCGCCGTGCATGTGCATTACGCTTTTCCTTGTTACATTTGACTCAGTAAACTAATTTAAGTAAGGACCACAACGATATTGCGGAAACGTTTGGGGAAAGACGAACACTGTATTTTATACAACTATATCTTTCTATAGGTTATTTACCTGAAGAAAAATCGTGACAAAGGTATCTGAACAACTTGATCCAGCATACGAAACACTCGCCGACCGGGACAGAACAGACAATATCCAAGGTAGTATAGAAATAGCGTGTCTTTAGACTCCATAGAAGCTTAACTAGACGCTCGAATTTAGTGTAGTTCGTAAGCTCTTTCCACGTGCAAGGCTGAGCGAAAATACGAATATTAATTTTGAAAATTATTTGTAATTCAAATGAGTTTTCCAACTTTAAAGGCGGGTTCAAAATAATTGACTCCGCGTTCATCGGTTTGATCCGTTCAATTGTCAAACGAAGGAGTTCAAAAGAGAGCTGCAAATGGTGTTGTAAAGTTAGAACTATCAACTCGAACTTAATGAACTTGAACTTAAAGCTGTTCGCTTCCGTGAGAAGTTGCTGCATTGCGTTTCACTCTTTACAAACATTGACTGAAAAAAGAAGTAAATTTTGAGGAGGATTCGAAAGTTAAAGAAACAGTTTCAGGTGTAGGTCCGCTACTTGCTTTTTTCACACTTTCTGTTAAACATTTGGGGCATTCCGGTGCTTCCATGAGAAAGAGAGAAGCAAGTCATTTAATTTCCAACCTCGTTCATCCTTCACCTGCGGACAGGCTTTTTCCTTTCATGACATACAAGATTAAACGAAGCTCTTTAAGAGCGAGCCTGAGAAGAAAGGTCCTTATACTTGTAGAAGCATGATCATAAGTTAATGTTAATCAAAAAATCATAGACCGAAATGTGTTTAGTGAAAAACAATTTTATCCAAAGAAAAAGTCAAGCTGCTGTAATAATTCTGCATTCCTGCGCGAATGGATTAGAAAGACGATTTTCACACTTTAGAGTGATGTATACAAGCGAAAAATCCAACAGCAGCACTAAAAACTATTACGTGACTTCAAACTCTAGAACATTCGCTGATCGCACAAAGCATCGTAGCATTTGAACGGACTTTGGCTCGGGGGAGGGGGGTTGCATTCAAAAGTTCAAATGCCGGAAGAGCTCCCCAGGGGGTGGGGATGATGAAGATTCGAATTGAATTAAGACTTTTGGCGGGAACGCGAATAACGCGTGCGCCTTTTCGCAACCCACCATCTTTTGATTTCTCTAACATGGTCGATGTTACGCCGTGAAAGTCAAAATAGTTCCCAAGAGAAGCTACATGAATTAGCTACATGCAGCTCTCTTATCTAAGGAACACCCAATAAGAGAAAAAGTCAGCGAAATAAGAACTCCACGCAGATACAAGTTGGACTGTGAAAATGCCGATAACCTCATCGTTATCAATATTTCTAAAGCAGCTCATTGGTTTAGAGGGTGAAATGAATTTTCTAGACCAATATTTCTTACCACTGTTAACTCTTTGAACCCTCGGAGAGACTAGCATCTAATTTCTCCTTACAGTATCACCCGTGAATCAGACATAAAGGTAACGAGAATAAAGGAAATGATCACCGACTAAAGAATCTCTGACCAGCACCTTAAGAAAAGCGTAGAGAGCAGTATGGAGAATATACATACTGATGTTAGGATGTAAACGGTTAAAGTGAGGTCATTATGTTCGTTGCACGTTAGAAAGAAACTCAAACCAAAGTCACAACATCTTGCTTCATTCCAGCTTTAATTGTGATACTTTTTAACACACTACTTTAACAGGTTTAACAAAATTTTGAATCATAGTTTAAAAGTCCAAATTATTTCAAAGCTTTATCTTCAACACTCTAAGTCTGTTACAGGCGACGCATTCCAATGTCGGTTAAGATGGGGTCGGCACTTTGAAGCGGGAGTCTACTTTGGCAGTGACGCAAGAAGCTCAGAAATAAACGTCTCTGGTTCTGGGATGTCGGACAGCAGTTCTGCAAGGAAATAAAGGACAGGATTGTGAATCATCAACCAAGGAACGTTAAACAAGGTCTTAGTTTTGGGATAATTTGTTAAAAATGTGACTATTCCTGACCGAGGTTATGCAGGTAAAATACAATGTTTTACGGCATGGATAAACTGGATGAGAATTACAATACATAAATGACAGAGCAAGAATTTACCATACAGAGTGGCGTTCAATTATTCTACCACATCGCGTGACGAAGAATAGCACCATTACGGTCTAAATGTCAAAACCACAGACAAACGATTTAAGTTCAATTTACCTGATAATTTGTTTTAATTAATCAAGGTTTAATTTTTGATGTAGTAAAAGAACTGAACTTCCCCAGGTCGGAATACTATATTCTCTTCTTTTCTGAAGCACTTATTTCCTTTTCCTTTTCAAGGATTGTTTACTAATTTTAATTACTTTTATACACCGCACAGTTTCAGAATCGTTGTATGTTGTCGTTCTGTAGCATAGTAATTACACCATGGTTTACATGAAGCCTTCGGCTACCGGCTGATTACACTGAACAAGCTTTCGCCGATCCATGGGATGACGCCTTAAAAGGCCTCTCTAGAAACCATTACAAGTTTTCAGAATGATTCGTACCAGCTTTAACACAACAGCACGGCACATACCTGCCACATCAAACAACTCCATTAATGACTCTGAAGGTAAAAGATCCGTCTGGTAGAATGACAAAATCTGTAAAATAAATTACGTCAAACAGTCAGCCTGCACAACAACAAAATGAAAACTATCGACATGTACTTCTCTCACCTTGTCACCGCCTTTCAACACGGCTTCATCGTTGTTTCGAATGTAGTCCAGCATTCCCTGTGGCCATCCACTATCATCCGCTGCCAAATGTTTCTAAGTGAAGAAAAAAATAATAAAAGGGTGATGGGCTCGTAGAAAATAAAAACACGCTTCAATAACTTGATATGTGGTTACCGTCATTGAACAACACATGAAACCACAGGGAACTAAAACTATGAGACCCAGTCCCCCATATAGAGCCTCTCACTACGGTCGTCCCTGTAAAGATTCTACTTCGGTCACTTCCGATTTCGAAATTTCCAGGAGACTTGATAGTTTGAGAATTTGCTCATGCAGGACCAAAGGAACATCCTGGCTAAATGGATGGCAATCCTCTCTGGTTTTCTACATGTCCTTTACACCTATTCACTAACTACACAACTGTATTAATGACAATATATTCTATCAAGGAACTTGTATTTGCATCTGTCGATTGGCCATCGACTGAAATCGAGCAGCCATTGATTGATTGCATAGGCCTAGAATAGCGTATTCAGCGAACTAACCTTCAGCAGCTGATGAAGTCTATCGATTAGTACAAAGTACACGATATAGGGTCGGTATACAGAGTACTCGGCCATGTTCACATTCGTTATCCTGTATCATAAAATGGAGATCGATAAGTTAATTCTTAGAACTTAAAATCCAGGATGCAATGTCTATCTGTTGGTTAACTTTTAATCCTTTAACCCCTTGAGGGTGACTACCGTATTTCTTCACCTGTAAGCCGAGCGATGTTTTCAGTATTTGGCACAAACGTTTGGGAGATTTTTCCAAGAGAAACGGGGTTCGGCTTATAGCCGATGGTTTGGGATTCAAAAACAATTACAAAGTTAATGTTAATGTGAAATGACCGTAAATTACGTGACTGCTGCGCTCTTTACGTGACATGTTTTAAATTTGTCATGACAACAACGTATTTCTGACCACCAATCAGATTCTCTGCTTTGTAGCATCTAATTTCTCATTTAAGTAGCACTGCTGTATCAAACATTAGTCTCATGAGAATTAAGGAAATGATCGCAAAGTTAAAGGGCTCTTGATTTTTCACCAAATTCTCCTTGCCAGAAAAAAATTGGGAGAATATACATATCGATGTCAAGGTGTAAAGGCCTTAAATTTTGACATGGAGAGTGATATAGGTGTTTCCGGACGAGTTACAGTGATGCACACTTAAGGAAAATGGAAACCAAGGTTGAATAATTATTATACAGAAAACATGAGCTTCATAGCAAAAGGCGCATAATACAAACATTACGTTAAGAGAATTTTAAGGAAACTCAACCCATATCATTGGAGAAATGAAAGTCAAAAGCATGTCTTAAAGTCTCTTTGTGCCAAAAAACCATCACACAACGCAGTAGGCATAAACAACTAACAAAAATAGAGTCAATTGGTGGCTCGTACTTGGATGTTCCCGAGGGATTTGTATGCCGAGCGTGCGCAGTAACGAGAAGTCTTTTGAGGAAAGTGATCTTTGACTGGTTCCAGTTTTCCAGCGAGTAAACAAACAGTGACAATAATGTTAGATAAAGCGGACTGTCCACCTGAAATGAGAAAAAGGAAAAAAAATCTAATCATTTACTGGCTTATCAAATTCAAATCACTTTGCAAGGTGAAATAAAAAGGTCCTCATCAGTGACAGGAGTTATTCTTTATAAACTAAGAAGCTTCTCACAAGTAAGGATTAAGAATACATGTTCTCCCAGTGCAATTTTGGTGTTGTTTAAAAATCTGCGGGGCTTAGGAAAAAATTGAAGTATCTGGCACGGCTTGCCATTCAAAGATTCTGATGTTCTATTATGTAATTGACCTTTAAGCAGGGTATACACGGAAGAAACCCTGCTGAGAGCCGGGCCGATCGGGCAACTTACCTCGAACGACGATTCAACCCATTTCTCCACAGGCATGTCCAGGAAGGATTTTAGGGACTTCTCCTCTCGACTCGACTGCCGCGTTCTGAGAGAGAAAGGTGACAAGTAATTTAATGCCAGATAAACATATAACTGGCAACTCAATGGGCCGAGTTCGATGGGGTTGTAGTTAATCATGGGCTACCTAACCCTCTCCCCACCGTCCACCCCCAGAATTTCGTACCCATATATACCCTTGAGGGGAGAGGGGTGCGGTGAAAAGAAAGTGGAGTGTCAAGGTCAAGATCTCTCCAGCTACAGTACAGAGAGCTGATCATGAGACCACTGTATCTCAAACGCCCACCGCTCTCGTGGGCCACGTTTGTACAAGCTTAACAACTAAACTGACGTTAAGGGCTCTTACGTGTTCAGAACGTAAAGGATCATGTGCATGGCATATGGCACAAATTTGATGTTCGAATCTCGTCCTCCGCCACCAGTGTCTTCACTGAATGATTTTTCAAACGCAAACCGCTGTAGCAACAGGCGCAGATCGTGAATGGAAGCATGATATGTCGGCTCCAGATGACCTGTACATTCTTGAATGTAACTATTGTGTCTGGAAAAAGAAAACGACTAATTTTGTAAAACAAAGATTTCAGTGATGGACAGGCATGAATTTAACATTGGATGTATTTCTTGAGCCCTTTCCCACTTTATAAATTTTTTTCGCGTGGCGATCCAACTTTTTTGTTTATTTGTTTGTTTGTTTTTTTTAAGAAATATGTGCACTAAATCACAGAGCGCAAACAATCTGGCGGAAAATACAATTCTTTAAGATCTGAATAATATTTCTAATGTCATAAAAATTTATCACGTCAATCTAATCAATTCTTGCGCTTGGGGAAACCTTTAGATTTATAATCTAAACCTAAGCTGCACATACCCGACGTACTTGTTCGACCATTCAGAACATGCACCGTTCTATGACCACTATAAAGCGAAAAAAAGCACACCCACCTTGCTAAGCAACTCGCAAACGCTGATTCAGAGACCTTGTAAGGAAACAAAAAAACGTTAAATTTTACTCCTCTTAATGCAGGCCTCTTGTATTAAAAGGGACTGACGAACGACTCCGCTATATTTTCAGAACAGTATTCCGTGAGATAAGCTTCGTAAACTCAAATACGATCAACAAATTACTGCACGCTTTGAAGCGTCAACACATGTTGAGCTCCTTAGATCGTTAGAGAGTAGCATTCTGCAACTCTTAAATCATTGATCATCAGATTCTGTTGGATGAATTACCTGAGGACCCCAGATTGGTAAAAGACCATTGCACTTGGTGTTTGCATTCTGAAGGGCGGCGCTTTCCCACTCATCACGACCCCGAGCGAGTCTGTTAGCGAAAACAAATGTCAAAAATTCACAATCAATAAGCAATAAATATAACAAACAACACAACACAAATAGGGACGTAACTAGACGGCAATTTAGGCGACAAAATTGTGACAACACTTTAAACATTTGTATGACGTCGAAACAACAATAAAACGAATGACAGAAAGAAAATGATAAAGAATGAATCACAGACAAATAAACAGTCAGACCGACAGACGAACAACAACAACAACAACAAAAGGGAATATAAGAGAGAAAAGAAAATTTTACTCATTTTAGGCAAATGAATTTAACAGTTTGCTCACCTCACTGCGGCCATGTGACAATCGTAGTGCACGATATTAAAGTGACTTACGGTTGAATACCCCTGCGAATATAACAACAACAGAAACTAAACATACCAAAGATGTACTAAATCCGGTAAAGTAAATATCTCGCTCTTTTTAATGATACCATGAGATAGTACTCTCGTACAAACTGGGAATTCAATTGGAAAACACAGTAATTGTTGCAATTCGACGAAATTTAAACTCTTACACGAACAATAACTTGCTTACCAAATCCTCAGAGTTTTCTCACCTGTGTTTTTCGTTGTTTGTTTTCGAATTCCTCTAGTATGCATCTTTTGGTGAATGTGTAGATACCGAGAACCTGCAAAAAGACACCAAGGTTAACCAAGGACAATTATTTTACATTGTGATGTTTTAAAACAGCTCAGTCGCTTAAACTTCCATGTTTCAATAACATGTTCGAAGTAATTTTTCAGTTCTTTAAGTAAGCTTCATTTCCAAAGATACAACAGACCTTTTGTGGATGATATTTATAACCCTCGCGGCAAATACAACAAGCCAGTCCGGACTCCTCTTGTAGCTCTTCCATCTCACGCAGTAAATTTGACGGTTTGGCAATGATCTTTCCTCCAGAAGTTGTCTAAAATATAATTGATACTCAAATGAAACGACAAAGTAACACTCCATGGTTTGGGGTTTGAGCTGCTCTCAATTCCAATGCATCCATGTATCCTTCACCAAAACAATAATTATATTTAAAAGAAAACGAGGAAAGCAACAGCTATCACCTCTGGAAAAAGTTAAAATCCCTGATGATGAACCTCTGTACAGAACGAAGGGCTTGGTAAATTAGAAAATAAATATTTAAAGTGGATGGAATATACCGAAGGACTACGTTCGCGGAGGCCCAAAGGGTGACCGAACAAGAGCAGTAAAATTTTGACGACAAGGGCATTACCTTCGCAGAAACCACAAAGTCAGAAGGAGTTTTGATTTTACAAAAGCACTTGTAACTTCTTAATTCAATGTCGTAATTGAAAATCAGCGGTCTATTTGCAAATCAGTGAAGAGTATATATTGACCTGCATCCCAAGAGCTCCCAGCTGTTTTTCTCTCATGGCCATTGCGAGCTTCTTCTTTTCATTTCGAGTTGAGCGGCGAACTTCCTCTACCTGAGAAGAGTTCCACAAGCAAGGTATATAATAGGAAAATTAAATAAAAAATCCTCCTTCATTGCGCTTGGGAACGCGCATCATACATTTTCTACAGGAGATGCTAACAACAGCGACACAAATTCAGTTTCAAGTGTGTCGAAAGTGTACATCGCTTTTAAGTTGGCCACACTCTGATGCTCAGTGATTGGTCAAGAAAAAATCATACCACTCCCCTCTAATCCAAAGAGATGCATAACTAAAACCCGTTCCGAAACAACATTTAACGAGTCAAAAGAGGAATGAAAATAACCTTCTTTTCACCATCAGGATGCTCTCTCAGCGCTTCCATTAGGTTCTCTGCCAACGAGCCAACTTTTTCTTCGGATGAGACTTGCTCAAGGCGATGTATGGCTGGCACAGCTGTTTCGCCCACTAGAACCTAATAAAAAAGGAAAACACACTCTTTAGACGACGCTCATAAATGAAACAAGATCAAACAAAACAAAAAACAAAAAAAAAGAAAGAAAGCTCTTGTCATTTCGTAATTGGACATCTATAACACTTACATGACCAACTGCCTTATTACAGCAAAACTGTTTACAATAGTCGCACAGTTAAGTCTTACGATACGAGGTTTCGCTATTCTGCAAAGTTACCAATTTTGGCGTTAGGGGTTAGCCAATTCCACCGTTAATCACACTGAATTGAACAATCGTAGAAAAAAAACAGGTCTTCCAGGAAAGAACTAAATGGCAGCAACGATCAACACAGTTCCTACTGGTGATTTACATGTAACATCAGTACATCACCTTCCAAACCGATCAGACCACTGTACCTGAGTATTAGCGTGTCCCTTACAGAGACCAGACAGAAGTCGAAGAACGTAAGGAAGAGACGGTCGCGCTAAAAACTCTTTCCAAACGTCAGCTTCAAGAAGGTTTGCTTTGCTGAAGAAAAATAACAAAAAAATCGAAAATTGATGATCCCACCCTTTGCTCACGCATAGTCATTATGCGTGGTTACAAGATATAAAATGTACACAGAAAATAATAATGTAGGGGGAGGAGGGCGATAAGGGAAAAAATAAACTAATGATGTTACCAAGTGGATTAGCTGCCCTGATTGACTACACAAAGACTATAATCCTTTAACTACCAATTGCTTAAAACCTTAAGCCGTTACACTTTAACACCAGCATGTAAATTTTCCATACTGTTCACTAAGTACAAATTTTGTATAGTTATGAAGAGGTGCATTTGTTTAACAATCAAGAGCTGAGTGGGTGATCATTTCCTATATTCTCATAACCTTAATGTTTGATTCAATAGCGATAATGTGTAGAGAAACTAGATGTCTTGGGGTGAATGAGTTCATGAACGAAGTCAGCGCAAACCATATTATTGCTCGTACCTGAAGGGCTTCTGAGGTGTTTGCTGTTCGAGGTATGTCATTGCTTTAGCAACAATTCCATTCTCAATGATCATGTCCTTTAGCTTGAAGCCATTGTGGTTGTTCTGTAAAACAAATAAAAACAGGAAGAACAAATATTAGAAGTTTGAGAAGTTGAAGTTTAAGTGACACAAACCCGAACTGAGAGAATATAATATTTATGGCTATACATCAGAAAATACCCTGAAATGAACACGGAGATTATGAATCGAACAAAATGCCCCTATTATCACATGAACAGCGGAAAAGAACAATATTAACAGAAATAAGGACAAAAACAACAACAGCAAAGTACAACTCAATAAATTCAGGGGATCGAACCAGAACTTCTCCATTCAGAATCCATGGCGCTTTGCATTTGGCCACCGCATCCCAAAGAACATAGAAGGATCCCTAGCTTGCGTGCAAGTCTTACCTCAATTTTACTTGCTATACTGCAGAAACAGTCACAAAATAGAGTTTCGTCATTGGAACGCTCTCGATCAAACCTACGCAAAATAAGAAAGAAATAGAAGAGCGAGTCATTTCCATTCTATATAAACATGTTAGCATCATTCAATGTACTTCACAAGCCAGACAAACTACCAGTGAACTGTCTTTGTAGGGCCAAGAGTTCTTTCGGGGGTAAAGCAGTACAGGAATCTGACGGTTGGCGCTATGCAGATGATTCGGCCCGTTTAACTGAAAAAAGAATTCACAGGTCACACGTCTTTCCCACAGTTAGCCAAGAACTTACTTCTCAAAGTCGAGGTATGGTAGGAAATGGTTGATCAGGGTCCTCATGTTTCCTTCATCTCCAAATGTCAAGAAGGGAATGATTCGCATCATGGCTTGAAGCACACTGCTGTGGGTCCTCTGTAAAAAAAACAAAGGAGCATCATATGACACGTGCACTCGGTTGCGTGGTAAGATTGATAAGAGTTCGATAGGTTATGGAATTCACAGTCTATAATTTTGAGCGTGGTACGTCTGAGAAGTCTGGTTCCTGGATAGTGACTGGTTACTTTTGTCAATGACGGCAAAAAACTCCGGTGGCATTGGCAGTTCTGATCGTGATATGAATCTAAGGAAAAGCAGTTGAGACTTCCTCCGGCGATTTCGTCTAGGAGCTGTAAAAGTGTATGTAACCTGAGCTCATAACAAATTCTCGTCGATTTAAATGTGAACCCCCCTATTGCAGGTCGTTAAGTTTCCATGTATCCTTGTCATTTTTCAGATTCATTACCCATTTATCGTTAGATGTGGGACCACTGAAGAGGTCACACTACCTATACACAGTCCTTATGAGAAAGTTTTGATTTATGTCTTGTTTTGCTCCGCGTTCGCTCTTCAAGGGCTGGTCGCTATTGCTAATGTTTAAAAACTGGTGGCGGTCAGTGGAGGAGGGAAAAGCCAGGGAGCTCACAACGTACAAACAAATACCGTACCACGTAAGGACTTGTAATCCTGTTGAGCAGCATGTCCAACTGGGAGCCATCCCCCTGTTGGATGGGGATATCAGGAGTAGGAGTGCTGGTGGCTTCCTGCAGCACAGTCTCCATGATCCCTAATACGTCCTCTGCAATGCTTGCACCACCTCCGGAATCAGCTTCCAGTCGAAGAGCCTGTGTCATAAACAGCAACTGACTAATTAATTTGATTATAATAAAATACAAGATTGCTTGTTACTCTGACTCTCTTCGGACATATGACCATCAAAAGACCAATTTTCTAGGACGGTATTCAAGCGCAAACCAACTATGGAAGGAAAGCTTTAGGGAAGCACCTCTCACTAACTTATGGTCCATGGTTTTCTGATAGTTTAAATATGCCGAGCAACAATCAGGTAACGAAGAGAGATTAAAACCCATCATATTCCCCCTAACTGATTTACAAGGAAATTCATAGCAGCTGGAATTTTTAATCAGAAATTAAAGGCTAACGTAACTGTCTCTAAAGCCACGCCTGTTTCTATAAACACGGTAGAGAATCTCTCAAGATTTATACATCTTTCTTCTTCTTTATTACTTAGTCATGCCACAATTGGGGGTTGAACATATTTGACGGCTGAACAAAGTTGGGGCTGAAAAGAAATGAAACCACACCTGGTTCAGCGTTCCAAGAAGGACGTTGAGTGTGTTCAAAGTGGGGAGACACAAGTATTGTCTGTTAACCTGCAAGGAAACAATGAATTCTGTCAGTTTACAGCACACAGCTACAGAAATTATTAACGTTTTAAGAAGGAATCATTATGGTACAATCAGTAAGGTACCTTGAGTTTCACGCAATATCCCATGAGCTTCAGGATGACTGACACCAACTGCTTGCCACGTACAAGATCCTTAATGCCACTTAACCTTCAAAATAACGTAGCAAGAGCTGTTACTGGCCAGTCATATCACAGCTAGCCGTATTAAGTACATCAATAGGCACATTCTTTATACTGTTTGTACATTTCCAAAGGTGCTGACGAGGAGAATTTGTTTCTTTCTTTATACTGTTTTAATCTCGTAAATTTGATTCAATATTGTGCATGACGAGGACTCAAAGCGTTAAAAACATTTCCTGTCCAAAAATATTTTACAGATTTTTTAACAATCAACAACCGTTTAGGTTTTCCTCTCGAGGAACTTTGAACTAACTTGGTGATCATTTCCTTTGGTAATCTCGTCGGACTGTCAAACATCGCATCAACATCGGTTAAATATAAGTGATTCTTTTCTAAACAAGAAGAGTTAGCAACGTTGACAATACCTGCTCAGCATGGCTTCGAGCCCGCCAGAAGTAGACATAATTGAGGCCATCTTATACACCTCTTCGTCATCCAGTTCCTCTTCTGTAAACAAGACGGTCAAAGTGATTAGAAAACTATTTTATCCCCGCAGCAACTTTCGATAAAGAACACAACAGTAGGCGGAAACTGGCCGAACAAAGTAAACGTTGACTTACCCTTCTGCGTATCAAGATTCTCCACAAACTCTTCCGTGGCATCTCCTAACAGACCTATGAAGGACACAACAAACACAATTTATATTTAAGATAACTAGTTTGTAGTCATCTTTATTCTCGATTGCATTAACCAAGCAAACACTAATGCTAAATCTAAAGAGTAGTACTGGTAAACAGAGAAAACTTCTGAAGAATTGAGGTATAAAACAAGGTGAACACCTATAATCATTATAAGAGTTGACACTCCATCAGTACTGACTTGAAAAAATTTTGCTATTAAAACAAATTGTCAAACGAGAAAAATTCTGCACATCGGAGCACAAAACTCTTCAAATGAAATAAGTTTTGAACACACAAGTGTGCAAAGCCAGTCGGTTGAGTCTGGGCCTTGAATATCCCTTGAACGGTCAACAAAAGTTTTAATCACAATATCAGTGCATTTTGTGGAAATGGTAGGTAGGTTGTTACAGCCTGGGGCCAAGTGGCCTCTACAGGCTGAGCTTATCCCGGTTTCCATAGCAGGAAGCAACTAGGAGTATTACTTTTCTCTCCCTGGAAGGGACGCCAGTCCATCACAAGATTACAACCCACCCACCCCAGCATATCATCAGGCTTCCCTAGCAAACAACCTCAGCCTATGGTCAATTGAATGAACTAAGTAAGATCTGATTGCATCGAAGTTATGTTTTATAAAGATCACTGCTAAAATCCCTTTTTTTTTACCTCGCATTCGGTAGATGATCCGCATTGGTTCACCCTTAAAACAAGTATTCAAGAAGTTAGAATTGGTGAGGTACACGACCATCATACACTACGTGGTAATTAAGTATTATCAACTGAGTTGATAACAAACTGGTCACCGTAAAGAGATTTCAAGCTGACATTTCGAGCGTCAGCCCTTCGTCCAAGCGATTGAAACGTCAACTTTTAAACTCTTTATTGTTGCCACTTTAAGTTATCAACTCAGTTGATAATACTGAATTACCTTATCATACTCTCCCACCAACGCAGCACCACAGTTTCTTTAGAAACTTATCCCTTTATTCATAATACCCTACAATCCACCAACACTACAGTTATAACGGAAAGATTGGCAACTGAGCAAAAATCAGAAACCTTGTCCCACTGATCAAATACAAGCCTGAAATTGGGACAGTGAAAAGTCAGTCGTTAATTTTCGCCAAGTTATCACAAACACAGATATTCCACATAGCTGTACACACCTCTCCTTCAGGACACCATATTTTCTTGTAAACATCTTTTACAGGTAAATCCAGACTTATGATCTTGCTGTTAACGAGTAGCTGAGACAAAAGATTCACATTAAAATTGCTCGTCAATCAGGTAACAAACTCTTCAATAATCGCAAGAGATTTTTCACATAACCAGGAACGTTACCTCCATTCCGCTGTCATCCTCCAGTAACGCCACCAATTCACAATCTAAGGTAACATGAATAGAAAGTTATTATTATTATTATTATTTTACTTTCAATACCTCCAGTCATTTCTGCTTCAACTCAGAGAGGGCTTTAGTCTATAATAAACATAATTCCCAAGTTATTTAATTACCGGTGCATATCTTGTTCTTGACATCTCTCATAAGCGGACCCATACCAGGCTCGTTGCAGCTGTGGAGCAAGAAAATATGGAACCAAAGTGATGACATAATCAGGCACTTAAGAGGGCCTTTAGATTGATTGTTGAAAAACCAAACGGCCAATCAAAACAAAGGGAAATGTGACAGGAAGCCAAAAGGAATTCAGTTAAAAAAAGTGAACTAACGAAGCGCCACGAAACGCGGGGAACCAAATAACAATGAGTTTTAGTTTAGCATCGCATTGTTCAAAAGGGTGGAGCGAGCGTTCTGGACCAATCACAGAACAATCTTTGTTGGCGAATTCAAGACGAGACCAAAAGTTGCGCCATAGCTTAAAGAATATTGTTCCCCGTCACTGTAACTTCTCCAAGGGTTTGGGAAATTTAGTAGGCATCGAGACCAGCAATCAGGTTTGGCAATTTTGTACCTTCCAATCCAGAATAAAAGTGAAGCTTTTCGTCTGGCCTTATTGTTTTTATTTCTTTGTATTCACCCTAAAGTAGCTCATATCCAACCCCTCAGATACCTGTAAGGATTTCCTTGCATGCGTCCTTGAAGGAAGTCTTCTTGTTGAGGATCTTTCTCCAGCGTAAGAAAGAACTCGCCGACATCGTTCTCTTCCTTTTGAAAGAGGAATAAAGAAATAAGATGTTTGACATTGAAATACAAAATATAAGTTAAAACATTTCATTTCGCATTCGAGCACGGTCAAGTATTTCGGAAGGAGTTTCGTCAATACAGTCCAATAACACAGCAAAATGTTGCTTTTGTGAGCAGCTAGATCACAATTTTACTGGTAATTTCTATTACTAAAACTTCTCCTTGCGATTCCAATGTTACCTTGCAAATTGGTAATGAGAACAGACAAGCTTATCAGCTGGGGGTGTTATCTTAATATAACACGAAATTCTCTTGTCTAATTTACAAGGAACTGTATGGCATTATGAAGGAAGAAATACTAATTGGATCTTACAACAGGGTTCAACGTCTAGGCTAAATGCTTCAAGATGCATAACCCGCGAAGTAACTTTTAACTCAAGAAAAGCGCTGGGATAATTCTGGCTGATGTACTGTACTTACGGGAAAGATAAGACTGCAAAGCCGCTCAAAGATGAACACTGGAGTCCTGAGGTCATCCAGACCATACCTGATAATATATATCAAATCAAGTAAAAAGAGTGCATTGTTTAAACTGACTCCATAGTTATGTTCTTAGAAACATGTGAAAAAGTTGCCTCTTCTTTTGAAGGTGGGCGGGCTGAGCTTCGTCAAATATAGAATAAAACTAACCAACATGAGTGGCACAGTGGTACAAAGTAGTTTTTAAAACTCTGTAACATTTCCCCTTTATGAACACTGTGAAATCAACAAACCTCTTCAGGGTTTCCACACAAATAGCCATGAAAGCCTTGGTTTCTGTCTCCGTACCTGAAAATAGAATCATTGAAAGTGTCACCTCGGTTCAATAGGATAGATAACGAAAGAACAATCGCCCATCAAACCGCACTTTCGTCACTCATATTCCCTGACCTTCAAACATTTTTTTTCAACTTCTTGAAGTAACAATATAGATCTATTTTAACACAACTACGCACGGGTAATGTTCAACTCCACTAACCAGTAGTCATTTCTTCCAATAATTCCAGTAGAATCTCTTGCGTTTCATCAATCAGTTTTGTGCGCTGAACAACCAATCTGACCAGCAAACAGAAATGAGACTTTCAAATTTTTACCTCGAGAAAGGCAGTGGAAGATCAATAGCCATCCCGTGTCTGTAAGTTAAATAAACAAAGTTACCTTCGCAAGGACAAGTAACCATTTAGCACTGTGGCTACCAGTCGTCCTTTGAACTTTTGTTTGATCGCTTCATGTTCAAGGAAGGAAGACATCAATTCTGAGAAGAGAGAACACAAGTAAATCAGTAGTAAATAGGTAAATATTTCTGAAAGGCTACGAAGACAAAGTACTTTCTTTTAGCAACACTTCTGCGCCGGCACTATTCGAGACACGCAAGGCCCTGTCGCATATTAAGCACACGTACCAAGTGAAAACGACCAGAATATCAGAGTTTCATTGAACGCGATAATCCTTAATTAATCTTTTTTTGTTTCTTTAGAGAGCCTTCTTAGTTTTTTTTAATTTTAATTTTTTTTTCATGAGGCCCTAAACTGATCCTCATCTTTCCTTACCAGCCAACATCTTCAAAGCATATCCCTGAGACAGATCAGAACTGAGAGTGTACTGCTCCAGGTAGGTCAAATGCTCTATTTCCTACAAACACAAATAAATTCTCTTTCATCTTAGCAACTTCAGACTAGAGAATAAAAGGAATAGAAACTAGAAACCTATTTGACTAATCGTACCTTTGTCAACAGCTGACCAATTTGTAGCAGAGCTCCTTGTAGTGCTAAGTAGAATTTCCAGTAAGTAGGCTGAGTCAACCGCTGATACAACTGGAAGAACTCAGCAGCATTCTCTCCTGCAGTTCGAACTTCCTCTAGATAACTGTAAAACATGGTAATATAATAAGGATGATCACGATACATCCCGGACAAGGCCTTGGTTTCAAACAATTAATTCAGCATTAAAGTAGCTACTGCAAATCCACCATGGCGCATCCACTTGGTTAGTATTTATGAAGACTGTCCCATGGTAATCTTGGCTCTGCGTTGCGAATAATTTTTCTCATGTGATGGAATACTCGCCGACGAAGCGAGGGAAACAATTAAACCTACCGAAATCACAAGCCCTTGACACCTGAGTAAGGCAACCCTGTGATTTGCAAAGTTTACGATAAACTCAAAATTACTTACCTTGTGAGCAAGTCCAACATATGCTGCTGTCGGCTGGGTATCTAAATTTAACCAATCAATTTAAAGGATAAAATTAAGAAGTGTGCTTCCCAGATTTGAAAGGAATACTGTGGTTGTCAAGCGTGATCGTAATATACAAAAACGAACACGGGAATACCAACACGGTTTTCGAACCAGAAGTTTAGTCCTTCTCTGGTAAGAAAAAATAGTAATACTCGCAACTAACAGCATCAAAGTCGGGTTGTCAGAAAAAAGGTGGTGGTGACTGCACCATGATCAAGTTTGATAATCAACAGGGAAGGCCTGTACGTACTCTTTCCAGTTGCGGCCGTTTCTACCTGTTCTTTCGTTCACCTTCACTAACTGAGATCATAGAAATACCTAAATCTACTCCTTCGACTAAGGTACATTTTCCTTAAACCATCATTTCCCCCTTTCCACATTTGAATAATGTTTTTAATGTCTTTAAATGTACCTGACACAAAGACTCTATCATAGTGCAGGCCATCTCTCGCGCTGCCCTGTTAGACGGAGTAAACAGCACTTGTCTCAGCCACTCCTCCTCGCGCAGATCCTGCTCGTCACTTGTTTCGTTCCTCTTGGTCCTTTCTCTCCACTTCCTGCCGTACTTCTCCATCAGGTGTCGTTTCCGTGCTTCACTGCGGTTTTCCCCATTTGTTACTTTAGATTTAGTGGGAGCCATGGCTTTCCAATGAGAATAAGTATGGCTGGCATCTCCATCCATCCATTGCTTGGCTTTAATGCGCACGTCACTATAACCTTGAACTGAGCCCAACGACTTGCAATCTTTGTCCTTCATGAGGGGAAAAAAAGGCACAAACCACTAAATGAAAAGCTACCAAGCCTCGGCTCAAGTAACTTGCCCCATTTTTGCAGTTTATGATTTGCAATCTGTGTCAATCCTCGCCATCTTCTACTATCTTGGTTCCCTTCTAGTTCACTCTCACAAAATTATATTTTTAAAGTTTAACTTCCTTTTTTATGATGCTTAATATCATTTGATAAATCGCCATCTATTCTTGCTGAAAACCAAACGCATAGCCATAAAGAATATTTCGAAGTAAATTAATTGCAAGAAATAGTGCGAAGAAACACTGGTAACATGGACCATTTCGTTAGCGCGAAGTTTTATGATTAAGGCTTTACGCTAGTGTCTCGTACACACTAATACAACCACAGCCAAAGCTTTCCTTTAATTGTTTTGCTGTTTTTGTTGGCTGGTTTGCTTGTTAGTTTTAGAAAGGGGCAGAATCTTCCAATAAGCCTAAAGAATAAAACATTTACATCTGCAAAAGTCTGTTTGGAAATGTCTAAAATGCCAGTTGTATAAACAAAGAAACCCACCTTATTGGTTTTACTGCTGGGTGAAGGGGGTTTCACAAGTTTAAGTAAGATCTTTAGACAGGGTACGGTGATGCTTTCCATGATAAGGGGACTCCGTACCTCCACAGACATCATGAATAGTGTCATTACTAAGAGATAAAGACAGACACCAATATGATTCACTTTTAGAAGTACAGAATGCTATACGAGCCACAAAGACACAAATACAACAAAGGAAAATCTAACACTAAAATGTGCCTATTTTTATTTTTCAAGTAAACCGCTTCAACTGCAATGGATTCAACATTTAGATACTAACCGCATCTCAAACGCATCTCCCAGCATGAATCCTCCATCTCAACTGCATTACTCAAAAGTAGCATTTCCCGACTGATTCCTGAGACCTGCAACGAGGAAAGATAAATATAAACCTTGTGATTTGGTTGACTTCGTTGAAGAAGCCAAACAGAAAAAAAAACTTTGTGCCCTGAAATCATCAATCCGAGCCAGAGTTTCGGTTTGTGGAGAAGAGCTAAAAGAAAACTTAAGAACAATGGCAGAGGCTTCTCTGACAACCCCAACTGCGGTTTGTTTCTCGCTTCATTAAAGAGCTGCGTTTTTCGTCGCGGAAAACGACTTTAACTTTTTCACATAGCTCATATGAAAATTTGACATACGAAGCACGAATACCTACCACAGCGGGATTAGATTTATGGCTACCGACAGCTTCACCAACTGCTCCGATTAATATTTCATTCAGTTGATTTGTGGCAACTTCGTTATCTTTGGTCAACAAACACAGCAGATGTCTCACGTCACTCCTCATCTGCGGAGTGCCTTCATGCAGGTTGAACTCGACAAGTTCTTGTATGAGGCCCTAGAGAAACAACGAGATCAGAATTCAAGTCTAAAACTCAAGAACATGAAAATGTGAAACATTTATGTCTAGCGACGACTGAATTCAAATTGCAGCATCTCCCTCACCCTATCCCAACGCAAGATACTTTCGATGTTGCTTCCATAGCAATATGCAGTTTCTCCCCTCAACGACAGTTCTTAAATATAGCCACTCGTTTCCTTGACAGTGTTCTAAACTGTACAGAGAATATCCAAAATACTTGCTTTACGTACCTCTTCCACCAGTTGCTTACGAGTCCCTGGCACCATGGCTAATGCTCTCAATAGTGTGACACAGTGCTCTATAGCAGCCGATGCACAACCATAACATTCTCCAGGCAAACCCTTAGCACCCGTCGTAAGCAACAAAGAACCGCTAGCGCCTTCTGTTGGACCTTTACACTCGCGGCAGTCATACTCGAGCAACTCCTTCCGGGAGGCTAGTACTTTCTGTTGGATAAAGAAGGGACGTGTTGGAAAAAAAAAACCTGTGTATCAGCGGCTTCAGAGTACCATCATCTGTCTATAGTTGTGCGTCTATCCAAAGTGTACGATTACTGAACAAAAATTACTTAATGGAATAGATAAACAACAACGTCGCTTCGACGCAGCTCTACATATCCCACAAAAAAACTTGTTACTGATCAACAGATTAATCTAAATTTCAGGTGTTAGAAGTTTCATGCAAAAAATTCACAGTCAGGACACCAACACACTCTTGCTTTCAACGATCAGTTAGAAAATCTACATCCACTGACAAAATTATCGATCTTTGTCTGATCAGCTGTAACTAAGGGGACGAGACTCGAATTCATGTGTATTACAGGTTATCAGTTGAAATCTTCGAAAAAAGATTGTTCAAACCTGAGTGATCTTGCTGAGTTCATCAAATGTGCCCTTACACTCAACACAATAGCGATGAGCCAAAGCTTGGATGGCCTTGTTGACTCCCGTATTAGCAGAAGAACTGCTGGATGCTGAAGCTCCCGCAACTATTTGTGCTGCTGTCGGTGCGGCAGCGGGTATACTCTCCTGTCACATGAGGGATAAAGGTTACCACTTTGAAAATTGTCATGATACTGTATACAGCACGGAATAAATGACAAAACAGACAGCTAAGGTTATCAATCCTAGCTCTCTTAGTTTGGTGAACATAAAGCTTCCATGCCACTAAGAGCTTGAAAAATGACACTTTCTTTTCTTCGTTTCAATACGTAGCATCATTCGTATAGAATGTGAAATTACAGGGTAACTGAGTGATCATGGAAGGCCATCTGCCAGTATCATGGAACATGGAACAAAATAAGTCGAGAGGGTCGACTGAAACTATGCTAGAACGTGGTAATGGGTCATTCGATCTGGAGACGGTAGGTTTCTTTCTTTAGCGTCCGCCACTTGAGATTCTCACCTACCCACCCTTTAAGTACGGTTTGTATCCCGTCAAAATCGAACCATCCAAACTTGTATTACTTTTAGCTGTTCCAGTTTGTAACGTTTGAGAAATGTATACAACAAGAGCGGGATGAAGCAGGGATGCCCCTCACCAATTAATTCAAAGCAAAAATTTAAAATAGTTTTCTTGGGAAACATGCTCCCAGATCTTAGTCTATCCTTCTATCTCTGACAACCTTCCCAAATAATACAACCAAAAACAGCAGCTCATGTTAGTTTCTCCTTTCTCCTTAACATCATACTTATATTTCATAGCCATTGCACTGTTCACCTGTAGTGGTTCTTGCTGTCCATGCTCGAGAAGCCTGTTTAACAGAAGGTCCAAGGGCTGTCTGTGAGACACAAGCTGGCGATAAACCCTATCTGCTCGCTCCAGCAGTGAATTGATGTTTCCGACGGCCTGTCAGCACAAACAATCCGTGAAATTGACTTCGTCATTAAGTCTGTTTTTCAAGTGCCAGTATCCAAAGGGGGATCAAATTTACATTACATTTACCAACCCCTCTGTAGGTTCCGTTTTTCCAAATTTAAATCAGTCTCTACCTTACTAAGAGTGACAATCCCTGTCTATCATGTACACGAGTTATGTAAAAATGCATCGCTGAAATAAAAGGGCTTCGCCTTTCTTCCAAAAAAGGTTTCTTTTTCTTTTTTAATTGTTTTGTAATAATCTCTGTGTTTTTCTCAAAATCTACCTTCTTTCGGTCCTCTTCATTCTCAATCGGGTCCACAGCACAACATGGTCTAGCTGTAAGTGTGTAGTCAAACTTGGCATATTTGCAGAATCCACATGCATTGCATAAAAATGGATCCCTCTCGTCATAGTTTATTGACCTGAAAGGATTCAACAGCAGTTTGATTGTCACTGCCCTGTGAAATCTGTTTGAAATAAGCCTACAATGCGACGGAGAACTGAAAACCAAACCCAATACACTCCTTCCGGTCAATCAAAACAAATGAAATTGTCGTCAAGAGCTAATGACAGCTCAAAGTGATTAGATTATTATTTTATGGTGCAGGTAAACGGTTTCCAGAGCAGGAGATGCAAGTGACCAATTGCACTTCGCTAAAGTGATTTAATTCGTGGGGAGGTTTAACGACGCAAACCCACGAAATGTAAAAATGCTGTCGACACGAAAACTACTCAAGCAGTTGAATGAATACCAACGAAGCCATACCCTTATCTCTCTTTCTTTTAAAGACTCTCAAAGAATGAAAAAAATCAACAAGGATCCACCAGCGTATTAGAGTTACTTAGGCTAAACCTCAAACACAACAATGACAACAACGAAAATAACAAAAACAACAACAACAACAGCAACAAAAACTAAACTATAGAAAAACCGGAGAGAGCAGACAGCTAAACAAGCAGAAGGAAACAAGAAATCAAGATAAGAATAGTGAGGAGTTATAGTTTGTCTTGAGATGAAGTCATCTCCGACGTGCTCCGCTACAAAATTAAAATTTAAAGCAGAAACACAAAACAAGCACTAAACCTGCACTTGTGGCACTGGTAAACATTCTCTCCACAGTTACTGCAAACACCAGGATTAGCATTTACGGATGCACTGCAACGGGGGCACTGGAGAGTTTCGGAGGAAGCCTACATGACAAAAAAAAAATCCAAAACTTAAATTGTGCTTCTTCAATTTCCAGTCCCTTTGCGATCCCGATCACCCAGTGGAGCCAGATAGCCATGAAGGACATAATATATCAAGAAATAACTTAACATTTTTACTCCCAGGAACGACCAACCTACTAATTCTCCTTACAATTTCATCAACATGTCAAGCTAATGAGATTTAGAAAATTATCAAATAGGGGAAAGTGTCTTGATAGAACACTAAACTTTCAGGAGTAGGCAAAAAAGGCTTGTATGGTCAAGGATAAGGAGAATAAGCTTTCAGATCTTGGAATTGAAAGATCTCTATAGGTCGGTTGACTGAAACACAGACAAAGTAGCTTAAATGGTAGCCTGGATACACTCGCTCAATACTGAAGAGAAATTACATTGATTCAAATAAAGAACTTTGAGACAAAACAAGCACCAGTGTTTACAGGTAGAAAAAAAATAAAGAGTGATTATAGATCAAAATTAAAGATGCGTTAGTAAACCCCTGTTCACTTAACAAAGACACTGAATTTCCCGAACATAATTGGAAATATTGAGCTCACTTAAAGAGAAATGTACCTGAAAATTCTCGTAGAAATCAGCATATTCGATCATCAAGTTGCTGGCAACTATAGGCAGTGGAAAGTCAACCTATAAATAAAGTGGGGAAGATTACGACATAGCCTCAATCGAGATAAAGGCAACAATGAAAAACTTGAATCAAAAATTTCAAACCTTTAGCTCTGTTTGGCCTGGAGTGAGGTGACATTTCTTTGCTTTGTGCCACAAGGATCTCCTACAATAGAAGTTAATAGTTTTCAACACGCTTCAGAAAAATAACGCGCCATATTCAGACCACTAGTTTCATTACATTTCGGTCATTTCATGGTGTTGTAGAGACCCATTAGCAGTCAGCTGTTATGTCGTGGTATACTCATTGTCTCGAAATCTTAAATTTTACTTCAACAATACATAGCAATTTGCGAATGCTTTCATTATTTAAACGATTCGATATTGAAAGACCGTCAAATGTTGATTTATTTGGAGAAAACCGTTAGACTGTAAACTCAGCGTGACAGCCGGTAGAAACACGGCAAAGTTGAGAACTTACTTGTTTTTCAGTTCCACGACTGCTTGCACGGTGCGGTTGTTGTAGTATAAATTAATGGTTCGGACCTATCATAAAAAAACGAAACAAGGAAAGGGAGACATGAGTATTGCTCTCACCCCCCCTTTGCACAGAAGCCTGAGTTGCAAGCTAATTTTTTTTTTTAAAAACTCGCCACAAGGCGACTTCGACAAAATCATCAGTCGAAATAACTGGTAGGCCACCCATAAAAGACTGATAGAAAAAGAAAGCTGGCTGGCAAACGGTTTTAGCGGTTTACGCACAACACCATAGAGAAAAGGCAAATCTTAGTGACAAAAACAACGGGGCAAAAATAATTTTAAGAAATTGTGTCTCAGGGTTATTTTGGATCAAAAAGACAACATTACCACTCGCTCATTGAGCGCCAAAAACAAATTGGCGCCTTTAGTTCCAAATGAAGTCCCCTAAACTTCTTCCTACTCGCCATGTGGATCAAAACGGTCACAAGTTGGAGCGCTGGCTAAACATGATTACGACATTAAATCAGCAAGTCAATACAGCAAGATAAAAGATGTCTTCCATGGTATCAATAAAATAGATATCTCGATGATTATCTGTGAACAAATCTTGACAGTGTAACACTGTACCATTTTTTGCCTCTTGAGATCTGCAATCCTCAGCGTAACTCTTGAGATTGTGTGACTTCCAATCAGCTTTACAAGCTGACACGTTGTAGTGAAGCGGGAATCTCCTTTGATGGCAGACAGCTTCAGGCTCTGATAAATACAAATTGTGCAATTGAGAGGTCATTAACTTCTCTGCAAAATAGCAGTTAACATTAAACGATAGTAACTGTAAAATAAAAGTTTATAGAATGAGCCAAATTTATGAACAAAACAAGTTTACAAGATAACACTAAGCAAACCCTCGTCCATGTCTCGGAATTGCATAACAAGTGGAATTCTTGCGACTCTCTGGTGTTTAGAAGACGCTAGGTACGCAAGGAGTCCTTCTTATTCCAATAGTTTTGTTATGGGTGAAATACATATATTTTTTTTTCAGTTGAAATAAGAACCTTCGAAAAAGGTTCACGATGGCGTTATCACAAGGTGGGTATAAATAAAATGGTATAAATTTCTCATGCAGTTTAAAATTTACAGCTGTTGCGTGAAATCCCGAAAAACAGCTGAGGAAGGGCTACAAAGGACGTAAATGAATAAGGAAAGTCACACCTGGAAAGGAACTTCCGGATTGTTACAGACAAGACAGGGATCACTCTCCAGATAATAGCCATCAAACTCAACAAATCCGGACAACATCCTAAACAAAAAAAAAACAACAACAAATAGCATTAACTTCCAGAAAACACTGCAATCGTGTATGATTTTTGCGATTGCCAATTTGTAAATTATACACATCATTGAAAATAAAAATCGGTCTGAAGAAGAAAAACAATGTCAAAAAGGCATAACACACACAGGGATTAAAACTTTAAATTTAATTTATCAAACTTTAAAAACTTTTTTCCTGTATGACAAAATCAGAGATTATATACTTTAGTGTGAATGACACGTGGCACGCTACTTTGACCAACCAGTAATAACAAAATGTTGTGCACGCACATACTGACCTGTAAACGTTAGAGTTAGGATGGTTTGCAAGAACATTATTCTGTACCATCAATACTTGAACTGCCTTTACACAATATTCCTGCAACTGAAAATCACAAACTCGTCAGAATGTCTTTACGACCATATCGTCGGCGTGGTATTAGAAAGATATAGTCATTAATTGTAATGGTTCAGCTGCCATTTATTTCATATTTATTACATTAGTTGCTCTGCGAGCTAGAAAGATGTAGCGAATTCTATGCTCTGATTGATTCATTGAGGTGGTGGGTCGGCCACCTTCCGCTCTCTTCCCCCTAAGAGGAAGTATTTTTACCGATGGGGTCGCAAAGCACATACTTCTTGAAGACAGCAAAACAAAATCCACCAAGAGTTCCGTGAACGTCTTTGTTTTCACCAAGGGAGGAGGGAGAGATGAGCCATCACCTTGAAATATTTGCCATTGCTGTAAACATTTGATTAAAGAGGAATTTTTTTTTTTTTTGGGAGGGGGGAAGGGTTAAGCAAAAACTATTATATATCTTTTCACCCACACTGCCGTGGAAGACTTTTCAAGGAAAACTTGCTGGCGAATATAAGGTTTGGCAAACGCAATAGCGTAGTGTATCCACGGTAACAAAAACAGAAGGAACAAAATGTGACAAAATGTATACAGTTTTAGCTAAACCCAACCCTTAAGAGATATTTGAAAGACTTAATCGCCACCTCTTGTAATATCATCGCACGAATACTTTATTAGTTTGAGGCAAATACCTCATGAGAGCTTGATTCACACTTGATCGAAAAGTAGCCCAGAAGATCAACAAACTGAGCCGCTCGTCGGCCATAGTCTGGTAGATATGGCCAGATTTTCCACAGCATCTTGGATAACTTCACTTGCTGGTCGTTAGTTGAGTACCTAGCAGATTTAAGTTGAATAAAAAGACGAGGTTACTTCTTAAATATGTATAACTATAACACAATAAACGCTTTGACACGCCCGTAATGCGCCGATGAATTCGAAGCTTCAACATCCTTGCAAGCCTACAAGCGAAAAACCTAACGGCAGCTCCAAAAACCAAAAAAAAGCAACCAAAAAAATGCAAACTCTTCAGAGTAATAAGTAAAGTTTGGAAAAGGCAAGAAGAAAAGTAATGTCTTGCACTTTCGATCTCGGAAGGGGAGTCGTTGTAGCGTTTATAATAAGAAATATGAAGAGTATGTGAACCCTCTCTGTGGCTAAAAATGATTTAAAGCAATACAAAACAGAAAGAACGTGGACATACTTGTGCATATTGTAAAGCAGTTCGTGAACTTGCCACCTGACGGCAGTCGCATTGGACTCTAAAAGGAAGGTCTGAACAAACTGAATCATCAGTTCTCCATCGACACTGTCATGTAGCAACTGAACCAGGCTCTGAGCAGCTGCTGAATACAACAGATATATTATTTTAGCAAAATTGAACTAGATCTCACAAAACAATGCATAGGAAACATGTCCCGTTTCGTTCAAGAAGAGGTCAGTCCACTCCGAAATCGATGGACTGCTCAGGAGAAGGACAGAAAGGGGCCCAAGGGGAGGATTGAAAGGGGCCCCAGCAGAAGGACAAAAAGGGGTCCAAGGGAAGGATAGAAAAGGGCCCAGGATAAAGTATCGTTTTTTAACCTTTCACTCTAAATGAGTGAAAGGTCTAAATGTCCATTCTCACTACTGGTTGTCACATTTCGTGAAATTTAGCTCTGAGAAGTTAATGTTACAAAAACAATTATTTCCTAGTCGAATATTTTTATTTTTTCTCATCACCTTTTAAACTTGAAAATGTAAGAAAACAGGAGGGAGAAGTTCCCCTTTATGAAACAGTCAAAATGTAAGAAAACAGGAGGGAGAAGTTCCCCTTTATGAAACAGTAACCTTTTGAAGTGAAAGGGTGGAAGGTTGTGTTTTTACTGAGCACGCACGTATACATATTTTCTTACATACCTTTCACTAACCGAGTTCGAGGTCTGTTCTATAAATTGCGTTTTCCAAGTGGACAAAACGAGGTTCCGTAACTTACAGTACGGATCGAGAAAACGAGGATTTTAAGATATTTATTACACCTCTGAGTTCAAACAGAGGGGGAAATTTTCAATTCAAACAAACCTTTCAATTTGACGGGCCGCACAGTGAAATACGGCCCGCTAATTGGGAGATATAATAACGTTCTTTAAAACATTTCCCGTGGCACTGATGAACAGAATTTGTTTAATTAGAAGCTAGTCACTCTTCGAGGTGAGACAGACCCCCCAAAAGAGGAACGATGACAATTTACCCCACATTTTACCATGGCCTTAAAATGTGGTCAACCTACCTTCACTCCTCCCAGTGTCTCCTGAGCCTACAAAAATAACCACATTTTAAAACGCGGCTGATAAAACATATGCATAGCTTTAAAGCCACTATAAAGCCACTATAAATCCACTATAAATATTCCAAACTTATACTCTCAATGAAACAAAATCTTTAGTCTGTGGTTAAGTGGCATGCATCATTACTACGATGCTGTCATTTTGGTAAAATTCGAAAGTAACTTTCAGTATAACTTAAAAATAAGCAAGAAGAAAGTTCACCACTTGGAATATGCAAACTATATTCAAACAACTCGTTCACCTTAGGAAGGGCACAAGAATTTCTTGCATAATTTAAAGAAACTTTCAGTGGAGTGTTGAGAGTTAAAGACTTCTCTTCTTTTCTTTTCTTTTACTTTACTATGCTATTTGATTGGTATAGAGAATTGGTGCCAGTTTCTCAATCGCTCGCGTTTCTACGAGCCTTCACTAGTTTCCTAGTTTTAACGTGGAGTTCTGATTGGTTTCCTACGAAATTTCTGCCGAAGGAATCAACGTTACCTTGGTATCAGTCTAACTATGGGCTCAATCTAAAAACACCCCAACAATGGGCATCTCTTTCCTTGGCAATTAAAAGACTAACCTGAAGCCTTCTCCTTGTCCTTGTGTTTTTCTTTGTCTTTGTCAGATTCCTTATCTTTGCTCTTCGATTTCTCTTTGTCCTTGTCCTTCTTGCTCTTCTGTGGAGAGCTTGATGGCTGAGACTTCATTTCACAAATGGCATATCCCAACAACTGTAACATTAGAGGCGTGACACCCTCTTCAAACAGGAAGCTGCTCCTCAACAGAAATGGCAGGGTATCTGCAACATGAGGCCAAGAGCATCATTATCACCTTACATGTAAATCTCTACATGCGTTTTAGAGCTTTTAAAACTAACATTTTACAACTAGGATTCTATCAATTGTTCACCATTTCACGACTTGAGTAAAGTAAAGTAGTTTCGCATCAATATCAGTATCTGGGCAACTGCCCACCTACCCCTACCCCTCCCCGAACCCAACATTAACCCTAACTTGTTATCAACTGACTGATGTTGAGTTAGGGGAGGGGTAGGTTGTCTACGGTACTTTCACCTTCATTTACCGTCCCTCGCACAAGGAGTCAAAACAGAGGCACATACCGCTCTGATGACTGTTACTCCGTTGCTTTCACCAGCAATGTTATCAGTCGTGATATAATAATGATACAATGGGGCATTCATTCAGGGAACACCCTTAAGACTAAGAAAAGTGACCCTTATACAAGGATTTCCCTCCAATTACGCTACCAGATACAACGTTTATAGGAGCATTTCTTTTTTAGTCTGGAGTATAATATATGTCGCTTAGAGTGAGGTGTCCCCACAAAGAGGAGTCCTACAGGAGAGGGCCCACTGTATTGATGATAAACACCAGTGGAAGATACACTGACCTGTTTCCTGAAGGCAGAATGCCTGCCAGTTGCTGATACGACTTGACGCAATTTCAGAACATGCCTTTAAGTGTTCAATCTGCATGGAAGGAAAATCGTAATGACATAACATGAATAAACAGACTCACATTGCACTGCACACCTTAATAACATCTACCTTATGACAAATAAAAGAACCGAAATGCAGGGGTTTCAATAACGTTTTTCCGTAAGGGGCTGCCGATAGTGAAATAGGCAGCTGTAACGTAGGGCGAGACCCAGACACAAAAGCCTGCTCGCAGGCTCAACAGAAGGTGGTGAGCGGTCTTACAGGAGGCGGTAGACTGGGAACCGGCTTTTTATTGAAACCAATGAATAAAGGGGGTCAGTTTCTAAAGAAACCGTGTTTTTGCGTTGGTGGTGGAGCATATATTTTATCAGCTGAGTTGATTAGGTGAATTGGCAACTGCAACGAGTTTCTACGCTGAAGTTTCGAGCGTTAGCACTTCGTCAGAGCGAAACTGTGTGTGGTGGCTAATTTACATTGTCAAATCAGTTAATAAAACCAAACTTATCTTTCTATTGAAACCCTGCGAAATTTTTCCCAGAAACTATGTATGGAGAAATCAGTCGTAAGTGCAAAAGCGAAATCATTAGCAGCCAAGCATTTCTCTCCCAAAGAAATGCAATCGCAAAAAAATTCGACAATTACGCGTGACAAGACTCCCCTCGTGAGAGAATGATGACCGACTTTCTTATAGTTTGTTTATAGCTACCTATTTAAACTGCTCCAGGAAAAATACCCAACAACTTTTACTAAGTGTATCACATTACAAGGTAAAACAGTTAACAAAGAGGAAGCATTACTAACGCATTGCATTATTATCAATTAAAGTTGTCTAGCTATAAAATGGTACGAAGATTACTCACCAGTGTAATGAGAGTGTCATAAGGTAAGTTGATCGGAGGATTGCTCAGATTTTCATATCTAAAACCACCTTGCTTGCTCAGGTCCCTATTAAATGATATACTCTGATAAATACCTGGGTTTAGTTGTTCAACGAGCGGACAACGCTATCCAACAGATAAATCGCTATCCAGCGGATAAAAGTAACCAAAACGTTCTGTGTTATCCACCGTAAAGAGATTTATCCAGTGGATAGCATTATCCATCCTTCGAAAAACTGGGGCCTAGTTTAAGATCTTAAAATTTGGATTAACAGAATGTCCTGAAATAAGAAAGCACCGTATCGCTAAAAATTTTTGCCAACAAAAACACAACAGCAACTACCATCACCACTACAACAAATGCTACCACACAAACAAAGTTAACAACTCTAGCTACAAGTAATTCCTAAATTTTATTTTTGTAAATTTAGTTCATTTGTTCATTTGAACAATCGTTCACATTAAAAAAACAAAATAGGCTCTCCCAAAAAATGGAGATAATAGTAAGAATAATGGCTTAAGGAGAAATCTTTTTTACATTTTATACATTAATTCTGACTTTCTACTACAAAAACAGACTTTGAAATCTCACCTAACAATTTTCATGTGTGATTTGAGAGCATGAAGGTCTCTCAACTGACGATAGCTTTCTTTGGATCCACACAGGAACAGCAACAGCTACAGAAAGAAAAAGATGATTAACGATTATGTGGAGGAGGAGAAAGAGGCACAAGTCAAGATTTAAGGCTATGTGAATACAGTCCAACACATCGTGACATAAAATGCTTGAATCAGTCTGAGGCAAGCCTGCTCTTAAAATTCTAACCAGTTATTTACCTCGCACTAATTTAGAAAGCTCTAAATAAATTTTGGAAGGCCTCAATGTACCTTTTTAGAGGAAAAAGAATTTCTTCTCGAACGGAAAACACATCTATTACAAATTTCTGTTTCTTAGGATGACAGAAAAGGTCAGATCTTCTCCTTCGCCATAGATGAAAGTGAATGGCAACCTTTTAGATTGATTACTTACCTTTCGCACTTGTCTCCTCACAAATGGAGTCTGCTGAATCAAAAGGTACTAAAATAAAAGAAAACGATATTCAAATGTTAGAAGTGAAAAATTACGTGCATGATATAGGTTGTTGTGTGTGTATATTGCTAAGATTAAACCAAACTAAGTCAACTTTTCCGTATATTCTGCCTCACTAACCTCGCACAAGATTTGATACCATTCCTCGCCAAACTGTGGAGAATTGTCAAGATGAAGAGAATCTGCAACCTTTTTCACCTGCAATTGAACAAAGTTTTAACCAATCATCTAGACTTATGCCTACAATTACGACTTTACTCTATTTGTCTCCATTTGACATAAAAATTCTTATCATCACAATACGTATGCGCAATGTGATACCAACAATCAATCTTAATGCACGATTGGTTGTTTGTTTTTTAAAAGTCGATTGCTATCACACTTACCTGGTATGGAAGTCTCAGAGCCATTTCGGTTAGTAGCTGTGGATAAGCTTCAAAAACATCTCCGGCGTGGCCCTAAATGACGAATGAACTTAGAACAATGTCACAAATATTTCCAATCAAATCCAGTCGCTGTAGAACTTTCTTTGCGTTGCGTAAACACAAGCGAACTTTGAACAGTGTTGGAAAGTTTACATTTCGCAAGTGATTTGATACAACGTGCAGTAAATATAAAAGACAGACAAGTGCATTTCGAGGAGTGTCTGAAAACCGCAGCAACAGCCAATAGGAACAGACGAGAGTATCAAAAGTTTTCGTTGAGAAGTCAAAGTAAAAACCAAGAAAACTATCATAAGAACGGCCACTAAACCAGATCGCGACAAGCGTTTTGAACTGATCGGCTGAGAAGTTGGCGCAAGTTTTTCTTCACCGATCAAACACACAATAGATCTTAACCAATGTTGTGTCGTATAACTTTGGATCCTCAATTAAAAATTTCTCCTCATCACTGCTTACCAACAAGAGGGTTTCTTTCATTGGACTATATTAACAAGATCATATGAAGTATCTGTCGTTAGACAAAACGATCTTCTTATTAACAGAACGCACCTTGACATACTGTCTCAAGAAGAATGGTGACATGTCCGGCGGTGGGCTTGTGGGATGAGGCTTCAGTAATGCTCCACCGATACCTGACGGTTCCTCCTACATAAACAAAAATATTTTTTTCTCTAAGTTTACGGAGTTGGTTGAAAGCGTTTAAAGTCGAAAGCATGATGTTACATCAACAGCATCTACTGAGGAAGGAAAGTTTCTTAAATAAAGTGCGAGATTGGAAGACTCGAACACAGAAGAAATTTGATTACAGAGTTTCTATTATTCAGGTCAACTCGAATACTTCCGTTCTTTGCCTAAAAGCACCATGTGCCTTTCCAATTAATATCAGAGTAATATTTCGCAATGATATAAGATTCTTATTTGACATTTTCGTCATTTCAGTTTGAAGTCCACATAAAGCTGTTCAAGCAACAATGATAAGATCTTGGTGTTTATTTTTCCAAATGGAATCTTACTTCCTCGTGGCTGGCCACCTCTCTCCAGTGCTCCAAAAGAGTCTTCAGAATGTTCAGACAGTTACTTGTAATTCCCACCTCACACAATGTGGCAGACGTTTGTCTACACACCAGAGAAGAAGCCTTGAGGGGAAAAATATCCGTCGTGAGTTACTGGTGTCTAGTTACACACGTTTTGAAAACAAATTTGCAGTTATTCTAACAAACTTCTTTTCTACTGACAATTGTTGCAGTTCATTCCACTCTCATTCTCTTAAATTTACACGTTTGAAAGGTTGCACTTTTGGCGTAGCTGTTAAATAAGCACTGTACTAAACAACTAAGCACAGATGTAAAATGGATCACTTGGCTGTCGGTTAAGATCCTCTAGTTTCGATAAATTAAATTCTCCTATTTCAGAAAATTTAGAAAGGAAAACGTGTACATGGCCCCTTTCCTGCTTTTAGAGAAAACGCGAGTGACCGAGAAAACATACGTTTAAAAGGCCAATCACTTAGCAAAGTAAAGCAAAACCAATGCAATCCTGTATTACTTCCACAGTTGATACTGAAAATTTCGCTTCCGAGCCCTCAGATTTTTACAAAATTGACAAATTTTCGTTACCTCAGAGCCAGTTTTTGAACTAGACTTTGTTCTTGACATCAGTACACTCAACAGCCTCATGATAATCAGCCAGACCTCGTGTTGTTTGGTTCGGGATGAAATGTGTTTCACATCCTGCTAAAATAATGTAACAATGGTGTTTCCATTGTAAGTTTCATACCCATAGTATGCAACTGTGATCGACCATAATAGTGACTACAAACTGAAATGAATGATTACCAGCTTGAAACTATGCTGGGTAATACCAAGGGAAAAACTGCAACGAACAAACTGTTATTTTCTCTCTAGTTCACTTATGAAGCTTGCTAATATATATTATAAGCTAGCTTCAGTTACTTTGTTACAACCCAAACATCTTCATAAATTTCCGAGCAGATAACATAGTGTAAAGAATAATAAGTAAACAAGCAATCTCTTGTGACATTTCTTATGAGAGCCGTAAAAAAAAACCAAATTAATCAAAACAGAAAAACAAAGGTAAGAAACTATCACGTGGAAGTAATGAAGACGCAAAGCATAAACAAGTAACCAAACAGCTAAAGGTGCAGCAGAACGCGAGTGACTAAGTCGCGATTAGTTTTAGTTTTTTTATTTGATTGGTTGAGAGGATGGTAATAAAACAGGAAAGTCATGAACAGTTACCATCTGATCCAGCTTCAGCTCTTCAAGGCATGTCGACAACACTTTACTCAATGCTGCCCTGTCTCTCTCGCTGTCTTCCAAATCAGAACTCAGCATCAGCAAGACCTAAAATTAAGAAATTGGATCAGATGTTCATCCTGCAGCGTACAGTTTATAACACATTTCTATTATGTGTGGCGACGAAATCTATGAGTTCCAGCGTAATCGGTTTTTTCTTGTTTGAATTGTCCAAATTACAGAGTCACACCCAAAATATGATCGTGCCAATTTTTGTTCTTGGCGCTCAAAATGTTTGAAGAGGCACAGGGTGGATTGCTATGACCTGCAAACCTAGTAATCGTGTTAATGACAAAGTAATTTTCGAAAACATATGCTTTTTTTTCTTTGTACGTCTACAGATTGTTAAGGTTTTAAAGGCATTCGGTCATCACAAAACACCTACTTATACTTCTCTACATTATTCAACCTCGTTGTTTTTTAAGTGTGTAGCTTATAGAAGTGACATGATAGTTGATGTCCTAACGACCATAATTTCTCCATGAGTAGTTTCGTGAATTTTCTTGGAACTATCCTGCCCCGGAATGAAGAAAATAGAGCATGTTTAAATAATGTCCTATCATCAAACCTGCATGAAGGGTATGGCCTGGACACCACCAACATCTTTCAACTTAGGAAGATGAACCAACAGTTCATCCAAAAGCAGAAGCTTCAGCGAGTGTAGCTTCTCATGATCCATCTGTGATTCTTTGTCTCCTGACGCATGAGCCCGACCCTGTTCCTCATCTCCATTACTCCCGCTACCAGGTTGGCTGTCCAGAGCAGCTGAAAAGACGAGCAACAGAATCAAATAGGTCTTGACCGTAAATGATAGTTTGCATAGTCTAGGTAGTTCCTGTTCTCTATTTGAATGACTAAGTGTTACACGCCTCATGAATAATCTTTGCCCAAGGTTGTTCCTGTCTACTTTGCGAGAAACAACTATTCTTCCATGACGGAATAACAGTCCACCGCACGTGTGTGTGTTATTACACTCTCTCTACTCATCACCCCAACCCCTCTCCCAACTTGTATTCCATAACTATTTCCTTGACCAAGTCACAGAAATGACAAAGCAAAATGCGCCTGGGAATCCCCTTTACTTCCGGCCTAGTCGGAAGTAAAAAACAGACCATTAGGAAATAAGTCGCCTCTCGACTCAACAACATCCAGAACTGAAGGATACTATACTAACCTGCTTGCTCATTTTCCACGGTGACAGTTTCTATGCTTGTCCCAGTCTCCGCAGAAACTGAGTCCACACTGCTTCCACTTTCAAACTCAGCCCCACCATGTCCCGTGTCTGGTGGCAGAGGTGACCTGGGAGCACTATGCCCTGCTGAAGAGCCCTGGGCACTACAAGGAGGAACTTCATACTCATCTTCGCTTCCTTGACCTAATCACGAGTGGCATATGGATACTCGTAAATAACAACCACCCAAAAAATGAAAAGGCAGATAAACAGTGGTTTTAAACGATGACGTTTAAGCGATCGTACTTTATCGAACCCTCCACTTTGCTTAGACATAAGGCTAATCTTCGAAATGTCAGTATTTTAGAATTCGCTGCGTTGGTTTATCTTACTATTTCTTCAAGTTAATAATCACATAAGTACTTCCCTTGTCAGTCAATGCAGCCCAATAATTTCCTTATATATTAAGTAGATGAAGGTAACTTTGTATGAGTTCAGGAAAATATCAAAACTCCATTTGCAAACTGCTCAAATCAAACAATTTCTCGGTACGTTTACCTGAAGCTGTATCAGACGACATGGCAGCTTCAACGGGCATTCCGATAGCTTGAGCAGCAGGAAGTGGCAAACCAGGAAGACTGAGACCTTGTCCACTCGCTTGGTCCTGAAGGCTAAGAGCAATGGCAAGCTCCACCATGGCTTCATCATCTGCATCTGGAGGCAGATCCAACATGCCTGGTAAGCCACCAGCACCAAGAAGTAAGGCCTCTAGATGACTGGCGGCACTTGCTATGGATGGCACCGCTGCTGATGGCTGGCTTTGTTCTTGAGCAGGCTCTTCTGGTGCAACCTTCAGAACAAGAGCGAAATTATTTTTCAAAGAATAAAATTGAGTTAACGACCTGTTCGCTATCAGCAGTGCTCGTGACAAAAAGGCTGGGAGGCCAAAACATTAATATTCAACATGCAGGAGGCGTAACGTTAGCTGTTTACAAGCAAGGCTTAGAAAACTACCTGAAGACCTCCCGGCCGTGGGTTAAGTCTTAATCACATTGCAAAGTAAAGGATGTGTGTCTGGTGACGGGAATTGTTACTTTTGAAACGCAGTTTATTTCCTTTGTGCCTGGGATTATTGATTAGCCGCCTGATTGCTTGTGTTAAGTCAATGTTTGATTACGTCAAGTTTTTTGTTACTGTATCATTGCAAGTTGTTATGTAATTTAGTTCACAATTCACTCATATTACACGCCGACGATAGACTTCTATTGCTGTAAAAGTATCGTGCGCTCCGCTACTGAGAGTTCACTACTTTGTCGTCTTCGCTACACTTTTCAAGCACTTAAGGAGCTCGACCAAAGTAAGTTACTTTTATTGTTTTACGCTCAAGTTAGTTTATTGTTTGTTTTAGTTATTAGTTGATTTCAGTATAGATTACTGTATAGTGTCATCGTTAGTTAGTCAATTATATTTATATAAGGGTCGTTTCGTTTTCTGTTGCCTTTTAGTTCGAACCACGCAATTTGCTACCACATTACAACCACAATCACTACCAAACTAAGTTTTTAACCACTACCCTACTCTTCGCTACTTGGCTACGTATGTCATATCTTCGTATCTTCGTTATAGACACTTGAAAGTGTCACACGTGGTATTTGTGCGTTCGTTTTGTTGAGCACCGTGAGCTAATCTACCTCGCCATCGTTACCAGACGCTATCCTGCGACTCTCCGGAAATCACAGGAATTAGTATACAAAACTTCTAAATCACAAATTCCATTAAAAGAATAAACACCAACAAAAACCACCGAATAATACCTAAAAGGAGCATTATACCTCATGGGCCTCCGCAGCTTGCTGCCTCCCTGTCTCAGTTTCATCTGCTTCAGTTCCACTTGGTTCGTCTGGAGGGGTTCCATTGGCTCTATCTTGGTCTGCTTCATCATCTTCCCCATCAAATTCATCTCCTCCAGCTCCTTCCCCTACGGGTGTGTTGCACTGAAGAGGGGAGTTACCCGTCCCATGCCGGTGTTTGTGTATGAGTCGCATCAATGCCTGTTTGCAGGCAAAGCTGACAGATTGGTCCTAAAGAGATGAAAAACAAGAAATTATGGTGCTAGTGTTCATTTAAAGGAGTTACGACAAGGCTAATGCATCTAAAACATTCAGCCTAAATTTCATGTTGGTCATAAGCAGTTGGAGTTTTCATCTTTTTATCTTTAATTTTATCTTCTTTTTTATTTTAATTTTATCTTCTAGTCATCGAGCATCCTTGCTCGTTCTTGTTTTGTAGTCACCTTTTCCGTCTTTTGGTGATTGTGTCAGACAAATAATTTGTAGTAGTTTTGCATAGCATAAAAAGCGACTCAAAATTTAGCGCGAAAGTCGTCCCCAATACTATTGACAGAAAAAAAATACGAAGACACATAATAAAACAATGGAATTATAAGAACCATGTGATGGGATACCACAGTAAATAATTAAAAAAATGGTTTCCTCGATTACAAATGAAGAGAGGAATAACTCACGGAATTATTTGATATGTGATAGTACGAAAGAACGTAAACGAGTAACAAAAACTCTAAATATTGAGCATGAGCCAAAGCCTCCAAGAGGAAACAAATCAAGCAGTTCAGAGAAGATGAAATAAAAAATAACTTCAAACTTGAATTACAAACTGTGCGCACATTTTCATCATACATACCTCGCACAGCAGCATTTTCACGTACTGTTTGACGGCAAGTCCAACTTTGGAGGGATCTGCTATTGCAAAGGCATGGACGATGTCAACAAGAGCTGTCACCGTCGACTCCACATTTTGGAATCCTGAAATTAAAACAACCTTTTATCACTATTCTGCAAAACAAAATTCTTTTAAAAAAGACTGATATGATTTTTCCAAACTTGTGAAGACAGCACCTGCGCACGTGCAATGCACGTGCTTTAAAATTTGAGCCCTTGCAAATTTTACATTCTCTTTTTGTAACCTTACCAATAGAAGACAATGGCGACAGAACAAGGTTTACAGGTTGACAACTGTGCAGCTTCCAAAAGGCATTCATTAGACATACAGCGAAATGGTGCTTCTCATCACTCTCTGGCAAGAGAAAACAATAAATTTTAATCGACAACGCTATTATCGCATTCCATTTCATTACTGTGAAAGATTATGTTGCTCCAAGAAGGAGTCGAACCTTTAACCTTCCGATTAGTGCTTCGGATGCTCTAGCGATAAGCTGTAGGAGACTCTTGGTTCATGGTGACATATTTCCTGCAGACTGCTTAAAACGTTCTACACCAATTCGTCAACCAATCGTTTATGTTCACAAATAAGACTTACACCAACGACGATAAGATCTGCCGAATGGGAATTTTGTCAGTCTTATTAACGCCCAAGTCGCAAATGAGGTTAGGTGCCCGAGGGCCTGGGTGGGTGCAACCGCAGTCGCACCCCGAGGCGTTAGAACACCCGACTGGCCAACCCAACCCGTAACCCAGCCACGAAAAAAAGATGAATTGCGTTGAGTTCGTTAAATTGAAAAGAGGTGAACACAGTGTGACTAAATAACAAGTTCCAAACAAAGCATGCATTGTCATAATTGAAAACAGTAGAATTTTATAGTACGAATAATCATATTAAATAGCGATAAATGTATCGAGCCCACACTGTCGTTACTGACCCGTTCGTTAACTTACCATCTCTTGTCTTTTGTTCAGGCAGGACGGTATACTTTGCCAGATTACTAGGTCTTGTAATGGCCACAGATCTAGCACTCACCACCAGATGCTGGAAACTCTCTACATCAAGTTCACTGACATTCACCACAACCTCTTCGGTTTCTTCTTTAGTTTCTGTCTCAGGTGTCTTTTCAACTTCTGTATCTTTCTCTTCTTCCTTTGTTTCTTCTTCATCACAAGGACTTTCAAGCTTACAGAGGAAGTTTACTACTTGTGAAAGCTGTGCCTGATCCTGAAGTGAACAAACGCTATTTAAACAGCAATCTAGATGCATGTTACAAAATTTTCAACTCTAACCATTACAAATAGAAGAAAGCATGAAAATAGCCCTGAATGCCTTAGAATGACTGCCCATTAAACGACCTTCTATTTATTCCCTTGTTCAACACAAAAATTTGATTTTACATCATAAGTCATTTTGGGGTTTTATTCCGCACACTCCTAAAATCTTATCTACAGTTGTCTTCTTCATGCTTATCAGCTCTGCAAAATGAACGCCACAAAGCAAGAACTACACGTTTCATCCAAGAACACTACTATTTTTTATACCGGGTATCCACATTACATACATTTATTCTTAGAACCGCTCCTGGACAAACAAATGAAGAAAATATTGGACAATAATCAGCTCGGGGATATCATTTGGAAATTTACAAGACTGTTATCCATCAAAGAAACCGTAAGGGGAATCACCAGTAAGGGATCACTATTACGGTAATGGGTGTCATTTCATATGCAGTTCGTGGAGACAAGCACTCTTCTTTGTAGTGCAGAGCAACAAGATCTACTGTAAACATTGGCGTGTAAACCACACTCGTAGATAAGCTACTATCAAATTTGGCAACTCAAATTTTGGAAAAAAGGTTTTGAAGAGAAATCGAAAGAAATCACAGGTAGAGTCGTAAGAAAGCTGCTTTACGTTGGTTGCTTTATCTGGCCTGTACTAGGAGAATACTTTGAAACTGTACCTTGTGGCTGTGATAAGAAACTTTGGACGGATGTAAAGTGGCGAGGAGAGTCTGGGCTTGATGTTGAACACTGGATGGCATAGCACTGGTCATGAGTGAGGTAGCAGCATCAAGTGCCGACTGCCTTGAGGACCCATCCTGAGACACAAAGCTGGAGAAGCAGCCATCGACCACCTCCAGTAAGTGCACCACCAGTCTGAAACAAACAAGTTGTCTAGTTCTACAATGGAAACTTAAATATCTGACAAGAATAAACCACACAGTGACAGTCACTCCTGAGCCTGCAGTTACACTCACATTTACTAATAAATACCACAATGGTGACCTTCATTTTTGTTTAAAAAAAAATCCAAGACGCACAGTGTCCAGTATGAGGTACAATGTCGAGTGCATCATTCAGCCAAACCCCCATAAGCATTACGCACCATGCATGTCTCAAACATGGCCCGGGTTGAAAGCAAGGACAGAATTCAGTATAACAATCAAAACTGAAAAAAGTAGCCCCATTGATGAGCTACCTTGAAGGGTAATTATAACAGTAGCTTCCTTACTTGTCAGCGGGTGTCATTGGAGGAACTGAGTTCACAATTTCCGTTTCAGTGTCCACACTAGCTGCACTGCCCAGACCAGGCGTGGAAGAAATCTCTTCCTGAGGATCATCAGGCCAACCGAACGCCTCTTTTGTTTTGGTATACACCTTCACTGAGTCCAACATGGTCACTCCTGACGGGTCTAAAGACTGACCAACTAAGGAGGCAAATACAAGATAATAAGTATGAAGCTCTCCTAAACTGTGCCAAGCATTCAGTTAGTACAATAACCGATAACCTGATATGAACTGTTCACGGAGCTTATAATTACATGTATATGTTCCAGATTTTGTACAACTGTCTGTGCGTAAACTCTTATTCATGGAGACAAATCTGGACCTGTATGATTGAGCAAGCGCAGGCTACATGTGTTTTCAAAGACAAGGGCAAATCTAAGGTCCTTAAAAAGACTATTTCAGAGCAAACGACGAAGGACTAACGCTCGAAAATTCAGTTTTAGAAACTCTTTTACAATTTACATCATCAATCCAGTTGACAAAACAAAATTATCTCGTCTTTCACATACATTTTCAATAAAATCCCCGGAAAGCAAGAGAAACATCAAGGGCAGGACAATTTTTCGGGAAACGTGGCGGATAATAAAAACAAATAAAAATCAACATTTACTTACTGAACAAAGAAAACTTTTTGTCAGCAGTCAATGATTCCTCTCTTGTAAATGGGAGATCAAACCATCTATTTCTCGTTAGTGTCAACTGAATAACTCTGCCAAAGATTTCTACAAAGGATGGCGCTTTCTCCACTGACTGACAGCCAATTTGAATTCTCACACCAACCATTATAACACGAGGGTTTGTGTTGGTTATCTCAATATTGAAACCATTTGGCTGTAAAGTAAAAAATTGGATACATTTAGACCAGTTTAACACGATGGTAACACACCCACACATTCAAAGCAGTGAAGAAACTGGTATTAACACTTCCCATACCAGACTTTTGATCATCAAAGACGATGGAAATAAGTGACGAGTGAAAAAAAGCTAGTGTGTGAACAAACTTTTACTGCCATTTCCCAGAAAACTCCTAGTTTTGTTCCAAACACTTCTGTACTCATCTTTTCCTTCATTTTCCTTGTCAGCAGCTTAGGAAATATACAGGGAACAGTATGCATGTTGATGTTAGGGTGTAAAGGATTAAAGGTTCCTTTCATACATGTAAGTCCTCGCCCAAGTTTAACTTCAATTTTCTGTGTTATCCAGAACAACTCGATCAGCGCATAAAAGAAGTGTAACCTAACGCCTATATTTCATGTTGTAACAAGCAAAGTATGTTCAAACCTTTGTACTTGCGATATACATTCCAGCAGTCATTAGTCTGTGTTTTACTTGCTGCACGTTATAAACTTGAAGAATATCTCCTCCGCCAAACTCAACTTCATTGAAAAATGGTTGACAGTGCTCAAAGAAATCCACTGGGAAACTGACAGCTGTGGATTTAACTCTGGCTTTGGATGTTTTCTTCTTGCGAACAGGCTTCACTATGTTGAGGGGCCTATACATGAGCAGAAGAAAAAACGGTAACATAAATTATCGTAGTCATCGTAATAATTATCTTCCTTTTTAATAATAATTAACTCAAATTTGTGATTAAACTGATAGAGAAGAGTCCAAAAGATTCATCTCGTAGCGGTTTACTTCAACATCTTCCAATTGATTTATATGACTTTTTACAAAGAGGGTTTGCACGTTTAATTGCGTTTTGGTCCAGGGACGGTTTAATAACTCCGGCGACGGTGAAGCAATCGTAATGGAGCTCAAGAAAGTCCGGTGACTGTTAAATGCATCAAGTGACCACAAAGTAAGCTCACTGACGGTCAAGGAAGTCCATAGAGTCTCAGTGGTTGGGCACCAAAGCGTGGTATTGGAAGGGCTGGGGCTCGATTGCTTGAGAGGATTCAGAAGCTTTTTTCTTTATTCCGCGCTTGTGACGAGACGAAAAAAACGTATTTCTCTATACTCAGAATTTTTTTATATAAATACCGACCACTGACCTCACAGGTTGGAATTCAGGAGCCATCCAATAGCCAGTATGCTCAGCACTGGCCATGAATACACGAAGGCTGCCGTCTTCGCAAAGGAGAATCATGGTGGTGCGTAGCTGATCAGACGTGCTCACAGAATGGCGGATAGCTACCATGTCTTGGGTTTTTGCTTTAGATGATGTTGCTTTAATCTCCTGGATCTGTTGGGACAGTGAGCCATTTCAGAGCTTTAGATCTCCTTGGTGAAAACGTTACTATAGATTGTTAGGAAAGCTTGCTACCAACAGATATCACACATGCACAATGCACAGATTGAATGATGATATATCTGAAGCCTTAGAAACTGCTTTTCAAGACTTTGAACCAATCAAGTATCATTTTTGATGCCCAAAAAACTTAAGACATGCCTCCTCTTCTGTCATGTTTACGACAGTAGGTACCATTTACACTTGCATGGTTAATACTGGAAGCAATCTACACACTTTCACTTACAAATTTACAACTATATCATCCTTAATTGACCATCCCTGAATACAGCTTAATTAACTTGTGAATATGGTTTAGTTGTTTAACGTTATTTTAAAAGTCCCCTTTACCAATATTTGATGTGGTTTGACCATCAACACCACAGGAACACCTGCTGTGTGTGTCAGACAGCACACCAGTCCAGGATGCTGTGGCACTTCACTCCACTGACACAGAGCAGCATACTGAGAGTTTTTATTTCCACCGGAACTGCTCTTGAAGTTCACTGGAAACATCTTCTTAATTTCCTTTTGGTCTTTGCTCCAAGGAGCAACAAACGTTTTCCCTGTAAAAAGTGATAAATGTACCATTCAGCCACAACACAACTTCTTATGCAAGGGTGCACACTGAACATTGATACCGGAAAGGTAAAACATGTCATGGATAAACCTCAAGTGTGTTTGTCCTTTCATACTGAAAGTTCAGAACCAGACAAAACAATAAGAAAAGCCCCTAAGCTGCAATTGGTATTGTGTATTTATAAGTATGTTTTAACTCGTGAACATCACGACGCTTCTAAAAATTTCTTAGGAATTTATGCTACCGCTGCTGTTTTCCTTTTTCCCTGTTTAGATTTTGGTTTATTTGTTTTATCGCTTTGATGGTTCGAATACTTGAAAGTGGAAATATTACAGTTCATATCAATACATTATACTTTCCTCTACGAGTCTTAATGACTGAATGAAATCAAATACACCTCTGCTGTACAGACTCACCGCCCACAAACCCCCCCGAGAGAAAAATACGTTTACGGTGTATAATAGATACAGCTGCTATTTCATTCACGCAGTGCACACAGTCATTACCTTGACTGTAACTAAAGAACAGCAGCTGTAAGATGTGAGAGTAATACACTGACACTCCTCCGCCGGCAACTTGGCCATTGGAATCTTGTAAATCAGAATGTTCGATGGGTAATGTATTCGTCAGATAAAAAGGGCCATTGATTGCACTGCTGGTTTCATCCATAGGCTGAAGATACAACTGTCCTCCTGATGACATTAGTATCAAACTTTGGTCAGCATCATTAAAAATGAAGCTGACATCTCTGATCTTTCCACTTGGTAGTAGGAAGTAGTACAGAGGACTCAGCGCATCTTGAGACAGATCATAAATCTACAGTAAAAAGAACAAAGAGACACAGTACCAGTTTACAGAGTTAAGAGTGCTAGAGAGACCCTTGCCAGGGCTTGAACCAAACTTTTAAGCGGTAAGAGCCCAACATGCTTAAATTTCGTTTAGCATAGTTTAACGCAAACACGTTTGAATTTTAACACAACAAGACAGACATAATCGAAAAAGTCAACTTGTCTGTCTTTCTGTCTTGTTGCGTTGAAATTCAAACGTGTTTGCGTTGAAATTCAAACGTGTTTGCGTTAAATTATGCCTGATATTACGTCTCTTGCCGAATTTAAGAATTACCTTGGTTCATTAGCTTAATAAGAACGTGCCAAGTGTACAGTTAACGTTTTATTCTGGGTTGTTCTTAATGTAGCTTGTAATATTTAATTTTGCATTTTGTAAGAGGTTGGTGTGTTGCCTAACCGGCTTTTACAGATGATGATGAATTAAATATTACCTTTACAAAGTCAGCAGTAACCAGAGCTAGTTGTGTTTGTGATCCGGGAAGCCAAACAGCTTTGATGATAAAATTTCCAGTCTCCAGTTGAGGATGAAGAGCAAGGTGATCCACCACAGATCCAGAACTGCTGAACGTCAGCACATGGCAATCCTTCAATCCACACACTGCCAGAAAGTCCTCATTACAGGGGTTCCCTGAGATAGATAAAACTGTAAAGGGTACCTGAGCTGTTGCAAGGCGTGTCAAGGTTAGTTTCCTCTTGCTGGAATCAGCTTGCTTTAAGAGTGCTGACAATTGAAGAACTGTAATCTAAGAAACAAAAATATCAAAAAAAATTAATTAGTATCGACAACATGAAAGTACTTTACATTTGTGTAGCAAATGAGCAACAGCACAATGCATCACATAAGGTGAGAAAACGTAATCAATAGGGTTGAAAGGGAGTTCTAATTTGAGCAAAAATTGTTTTCAGGTGGCTGGTTTACTGAACATAAACATTACATGACTTGTGAGTACCTAAAGTGTAATCAACGCTTTCATACATTTAGGTAGATAAAGATAGCTTACTCTGATTTCTCATTGACTCCTTATAATACAAACGTTTGCTCCGAATGGCTATTGAAATAATTTGTGTTCTGGTTTTACAAAAATCAATCAAAAAGCACCAATACAGGTGCATGTGCAAAGAAGTAACTAATTTTCAGATAACTACCTTGCCCTTTTCATGGCTAACGGCGAGATGTTGCCTTCTCCCCTTTGGTGATGCCAAGCAACACATGGCAACACGCCTCAGGACATGTGCACCGATCAGCTGTCGGATGGTTTGTCCTTGTTCTCCACTGAAAGTCATCCTGACATTCTCAAAAGCTCCTTCTTGAGATCCCAAAGTTGGAACCTGAATTTTTTACGGAACAAGAAACTGATAAAAGTGACAAACACCAACTACTTATGCCAACAAATACTTGATTATCTACAAGGTTAATTTTGTGAAATGCATCAAGTGATTGAAGAAAATCGCGACAGAAAATAACATGAATTCCATAATTCCATCACAATTTTGTAAATCCATTTATTTTGAGTACATATGTTTTAGCATTGGTTAGAAATAAAACCACGAATTTAACTTCTGCTGAGGTGGACAACCATCAAAGAGGTACATGTACGTATAAAAGAAAATAGTAAAAAGGCTTAAGAAGATGACTTAGGACACCAACTTCAATGTACCCTTAAAAAAAACTCTAGAAAGGCTCCAATTTTCAAGATACTGGGAAAAAAGCTCTTTAACTAAAAAACTAACCAGAAGTTGATCAGTATTCTCCACGCTCTTGTCCGTCAAGTGCAGTTGTGTCATAGAACCCTTTATAGCCTTGGACACTCCCATTCCAACACTACTGGGCCCTCCCGCATCAGGCCCCATCAGCCACTGAAGAAGGTCTAAGGTAGTCGTTATCACAGAAGAGTTCTCCAGTTGGCTGACCAGTCCAATCTTGTGCTTCTGTGGGTAAAACAAGTTGCCTACAATTATTTTTAAGTTAAAAGGGAAAGTATTTTCAGAGAAGACCATCGAGCAATAGGGAAAGAAAGCTTAGCTTCACAACATAAAATGTTACTACAAGAAAAAATGCAGTAAAGGTAGGTTTTATTTCATATGGAACACACTAAAGTTGATCCACAGTAATGTGACTTTAAGGCAGCTGCTTCTAAATTTCCGACAATTCAGTTCATTTTGTGCCCATGATGTGAGTTGAGCTTATTATATAGGTCACACCCTTCCAAAACTATCTCACCAATTTTAATTACAAAAATATGAAAAACCTAATCTCTAAGATCAATTATCAAACCTCAAGCTGCTTTGCCAAGGCTTCCACAGACTTAGACGTAAGCGCTGAATCTTCAAGGCCACCATCATTTCCCGTTCCAATTGAACATGCTATTCCAGGAGTAGCAGCAGCTGTAGATGAGCTTGCTCCAGAAACCGAGGATGATACTTTACTAGAGGTGGAACCTTCAGCATCATCATGTCCTTCATCCATTTCTCCTGTGGCAAATGGTGACGGTGGAACAGCTACCTGACTATCCCCTCCACTGCTTGGGGTGCGTTTAACCAAAGCCTACCAAAGAAAGAGTGGCTTACTTTATCAAATGATCTGACGAGCAGCATAATCATTCAAAAGATTGTTATCTATCAAATATACGTGTATCTTAAATGGCTTTGCAGTAAGGGTATTTCTCAAATATGAGGTTGATTGGAACATTTAAGTGTTTGGCCAGCGTGGCCTGTGCCAGCCCAGTTTGCGTTTAATACAATAACCAAGTCAATCCAATATGCAATCAATTCGATTGATACAATTGCAACAGGTACACCACCTAGTGTATCTTACATAAAATTTAAATAAGAAGGAGGAGGAAATTATACGTTTGCCTGCAACTTTGTTAAGTCTCGTGTAATCTATATAGAGTAACAAACCTTTGCTGTAAATTAAACATAATTGATGTGAGCGCAACAGTTGAACATTTCCTTACCCCCTAAAGTAAAAAAGTAAGCCTTTATATGGGCCTAAGTGGCCCATGGGGCCAGTGCTTACCTCCGGTTTTCTTAGCATGAAGCGGCTAGGAGTATTGCTACTCCCCCCTGGATGGGATGCTAGTCCATCGCAGGGTTACCCCCAGCACATTTGCTGGTACCCATTTGTACACCTGGGTGAAGAGAAGCACTGTGAGAGTAAAGTGCCTAAGAACACAATGACCCCGGCCAGGGCTTGAACCCGGACCACCTGATCCGGAGTCAAGCACACTAACCCCTGCCTCCTGCCTGTACTTAATCAGGCTATCCAAATGAACTTCCTTACCACAATCACAAACTTAATTGCTTTGTTATAGATGGTTCAGACAATTAAAAACAATACATGTACCTCACTGTTCAGCAATCCAATAGAGATGGACTTTACAGAAGAAACTACAAACCATTGACTTGTAGGCTGTACAGCACATGTGATACGTAATAACATCCAAAAAACAAAGAGAATCAAAGCACCCAAGCATTCACATTTTAGGCAAATGTTTGATATTGAAAGGGACAACACTTACCGTACAGCTTCCATCTTCTTTAGCCCCACAATCACAAAAGAACGAACCATACTTGGCGTATGAGATGTCATGATCTTTATGGCAGACTTTAGCACATATTGTGCACACGCCAACCCCATCATTCATCTTACAGGTGTGGCAGTGGTACCAGTGTTGGTTCATAAACTCTTTCTGAGTCATTGTAAATGTACAGAGCTTGTTGCAAAGAGAATCTTCATCCTTAGAGGGAGAGATAGAATCATCACAATTTTAGAGGAATCCACGCCAAAATACACGAACAGAGTAACATATGATGATCTTGAGGAAAGGACATCCTTTATGACTTTTATTTGACAATAATGACCTTAGAAACATTCTCAATGAAATTCTAAGCCTACTTTGGCCTGATGTTAAGAAACTGGGGAGCATAAATAAATCTGTCAAAAAATTTCTACTCCTAAAGAAGCCAACTGGACTGGACCATAAAAGACATAAAGGTCTACAAAGCACCTGACTATAAATTGTCGTGATTTCATGGGACACAAAACAAGAATAAGACCATATCACTATTGACCCTAATTTTCTTTTCACTTACCGACTCTTCTCCACCAGAGTCTTCGTCATCACCACCCATATCATCCATCCAATCAGATTCTACATCCTGCAGCAATGATTCACCATCAACTGGGCACAGTGATGGTGATGGAGGGCATTCCTTTTCTGAGGAGTATTTAAGAGCTCTCATTAGCTCTGCTAGATACCGGAGAAGAGGCCCAGCAGCTTCTACAATGCCACTCTCTTTTCCTTTCTCACCACTATCTGCTACCATGAGAAGTTGGGTTTTGCTGGAAGAAAGATAAACAAACTTTTGAAATTTCATGTGTAACTCCTCAAACTTTATTTATTAGACCTACAGCCTGTAGCAACTTATGTCAATGTTAACCACAATTACGAATAAGACTGAGAATAAAAGATGACAGAGTTAACACAATCAAGTATCAGCAACCTTCGACTTGCAGAGGATAAGACTGATAAAGAAGAGGTAATCTTTGCTTTGTTTAGGCATACCATTTCTCCAGCCACTTAATGATGGCAGCACAGAGTGTAAGATGTCCTGCTCCATCACCTGCACTGGCCAGCACAGCAGCTGTGTTCATGAGGTCACCAAATTTGGATCCAATATTACTCCACTCTCCAGGGACATCTGGCAGGAGCTCATTTCCCAGTGGAATTAAGCATTTTAGCAGGCAGTGGCTTACTTCTTCACCAACAGGGCTGTACAAATAACACCATAACATGTCATTCCAAACCATAACCCACAGAAATACTTTGAATCTATTTTGTGATGAGTATTACATGTACAGTGTATATCTATCTACACACAGGACTTCTCACCTCTTGCCATCCTAAAGTTCACAAAGTTTATCATGAAGTGTCAATTCCTTTTCATACATTTTTAGAAGATGACTAATTAGGCAACATACCAAAGGCAAAAATTTAAACAGATTCATTTACCAGTAATTAAGTCATTGAACCTCATTTTACATTCTAAGCTTTACCTCACTCTACATTACAAGGCCCCTCAGGGTGTTATACCTTGACTCCTTGACAATATGAGTGGCAAATGTCTGTAAGAGAAGTCTGTTATCTGCCATCTTTCCAGTGTTCCCTTTGTCTTCTTCCACTCCTAAGATGATCCTTCTCAGCCATGCCTCAATGTTTGCATGGTCTATGTGGCAAAGCTCAGAGAGACTTGAACATAATGAGCGCATACTGGAGTTTACAGGTTTCTCAGCTGTGAAAAAATAAATGACATTTGCACATTTTGTAAAAGTAGTTCTTAAGTTAACAATGACCATGATGTTAAATTCAACAAAATTTACCAAGTTGCAGGAAGCGAACTGCCAGTTTCAGTGTTCTATTGACATATCCAAGAGATAGGCGCTTGTTTGCAGAGAACACAATAACTTGGCAGAGTTCTCTGTTCTTTGAGTACAACTGATCCAATAGTGAGTGGTCAGACACTTTGTCCAACAAGGAATCCATGTATTTCAAACAGTCCACCAGCACCTCTTCACCAATATCAGATCTAAGAACAAGAAAAATGATCACTGCATTTTCAAACTCACTCTTGATATATAGAATGCTAAATCATTTGACTCTTTGACATACCTACTAGCTCTTGACTGATCTAAAAGAAGTTTGTGACATTTTGATAGCACATAAGACTGAATACAATTGGCAAATTTGTCACTGTCTGCTGAGTCAATGACTCGCTCCAAGATGGTATTACACTGTTCAGACAAATACTCTGTAGTGGCATCCACCATAAGTGGTACTATGTTATCACACAGTTGCTTCCCCAAGGCAGTTTGCATTGAGTGTTCCTCTTTTGGACACCACCTTGTGAGCAGAAAAAAAAAATCACTGAATGAGGGATTTCATATAAGAAAATTGAGACACAGCATGTGCAATAAATGTGGTGAAATCTTATCTTTTCAACCTAAGAATTAAGAGAGTTGCTTTCTTAACCCTTCCACCCTTAAGAGTGACTTGAATATAATTTCTCCTTATAATATCCCTAAAGGACCTGATCACCAACTAAAGAAGCTCTTGATTGTGAAATAAATTCACCATGTCAGCACCTTAAGACAATGTATAGAAAACAGTATTGAGAACATGCAGCCTGATATTACAGTTATATTAAAGTTTAAAAGCACATTTCGCAAGATTCATGAATTTAATACAAATTGAAATATTTACTACTGCCACATTGTCTAATATCTGTTTCCAGGTTTATGAGAGTGCACAGTAAGTGATTTTTCCATCCAAATCAATTTAGGAGAGAGTTAAATAAATTTTACACCCAGAGTTCAAATAGAATGGCATTAACAAAGACTTACGAAAGCAAATCAGCAGCTAGCTGAACCAATGAATGAAGAGTGTGTTTAAGAGCTGGTGCAATATCCAAGATATTACCACTGCAGACAGCCAACACATGAGCTGACACCAGAGAATCCAGAAAGTTTTCTGTGCCAACTTCAATTAGACATGATGATGTCTTCCATGATGATGCAGAGGGAAAATTTGTGAGCACAATGTTGTTCCATTTCTCCAAATGTTTTTTCACAGATGAGGGAAGACCTGCAAAAAATAAAATTTTTTTAAGAAAGTTAAAAAAGCTTTTTTCTGCCTTGCAAGGCCAAATCTTGGTAAAGTATTAGGATAACTTCAGTTGATAAATTCTGAGTTATCAAGACTCATTCAACTTGCATACCTGCCAAGAATGTCACTGAAAGACATGAGTGTTTAGGAAGTCGCATACACCCAATCTTTAGGACACTGGAGTACGCCTGCAATGCCTCCATTCCCTCGCTATCGTCATTCTTCTGCTTTGTAGCATCAAACAGCAAACAAAGCCTAAAAACAAGAAATAAGTTAAAATAAAACTGATGGCAAACACATTTTCTTCGATATCAGACTCTTAGTGTAATATAGTGCTGTCTAAGAGAAGGATTTATTCAAAAGACTGGGTTTTGGAGAATTACACTCGCTCATTCCTTATTTCACAACTCACAGTTAAGTAAACATTTAGGACAGGGTTACATTTCTAAGACTGAGAACAACAGCAGCTTTGCTTCACAGTATTGTCACATTCTAAAACTCCTTACCCAACAAATTTCTGATATAATGAAATCAAGTCAATGAGTGCAGGCAATAACTCATTGGCATTTTCCACAACAAGGGTTAAATCAGGATCTTCATCACAGTTTCCAAAGAGAGAATTTAGTGCCACATGAGTTTTTCCAATGACAGCATCAAGTGTGCAAAGGCTCAGTAGTCCTGGTAGTTTATAAGGTCTGTCAGCCTGGACAAGTTCAGTGTGAAGTTTCAACATCTACACAAATAACAAACAAATCACCATAATTATAAGATCTTTGCATGAGGCAGAAGGAAAGAAATATGATGCCCCTGGCTATTGCAAAGGGGAAGAGAACACTAAGATCTACATATGACACACAGATTATAGCAAACCTTGAGTTTCCCATTGTGAAACAAATTTTCTCAATTTTTAAATTGATTGTTTGGGAACCCCTTGTATAACCCATGTTTAGGTACATTAGTTTTAGTCACCACAATGGCGATAAGGTCTCCAATCATAGTCACCATGATGTTCTACAGTGTTAATGGTACACAAGTTAAGAGGTCAATTACATCATGTATCCTTTTCTGTCAAAAAAAAAAAAAACATTCAAGACCAAGTGCTATCTAAAACTTTCAGCAATTCAACTCTCAAAAAACCATAGATCAAAAACTTTAGGTCGTATGGTGTAAATTATCCAAAAAGGTGCTGTTAACAAATTCACTCCCATTCCATCTTCAAAAAACATTCTTCACAGAGATTTACACAGAATATAAGCTTCAGTTTGTATATGTATGTATAAATAAAGAGCCATTGACCTTTGATCAACAGAGACATAAAAATTAGTCCGTGCAATGTAATAATCATTACCTCTATCAAGAACTGTTTTGCCATCATGACACTGTGATGGAGATCACCACTCAAACTTGTTACTTTGTCAATCATTTTCTTAGAGTCTTCACTGGACATTCCTTGATCAACAAGACTGTTCTGTAGGGTGAAACAAGATTATTACTATGGCTGATCCAAAATTTACAACTGACTATGATTCTGACACCCCTGATCCAAGCAGTGCCTAAAACATTCATCAAAAGGCTGAATTAATCAAATATATGGCCCAGCGTGCCAATAGATGTAATTCAGTTCAGTTGGTAGAGCATGCGACTACATAATCAGAAGGTCTTGGGTTTAAATTCTCCTTGGGAATTCAGATGTTTTCTCCATTCCACATCATAGTAATCGTCTAACATCCTTTTTTATTTGACAATCAAGCTTAAAATTTACATGTACCAAACCCCTTGATCTGAGGTTAATGAAAAAGAAAGCAAAGAACATCACAAGCACTGCTCCCTACATTTCACAATAAATGAAAGATTCTCAGTAATGACTGAATTTCCAATCTTTAATTGCATGTCCATGAGGGTACATGTAAAAGCAAGAAGCAAGGTACTGACTCAACCAATAAAAATGTGTAAAACTGAAAAAAAAAAAAAAAAAAACTTGAAATTCTTGTTCATTCTTATGTGTACATGTTGATATTTCACTTTCAATGTACAAAGACAAGACCACTTTCACCCAAACATAAAACCATCCTCATTTACAGCAGGGTCATGTACAGTCAAGGAGGTCCATCAAGTTCATAAATAAATACAGTATCATTTTGCAATATGTACACACAGTTTACAAATGTACACATCATGCTCATACCTTGAGTGTTTCACAGAAGGCAGCATCTGGACTTGAAGTGCCAAGTTTTGACACAAACTTCAGACTACACAAAAGTTCTGCCAGGTCGGGGTCCTTTGAAAAAGGGAAAATGTGTTAATAGAATGGAAATGGGAAAGATAGAAAAAGATGAGAAAAACACTTGCTTATTCTAGTATTAAATTTTATAAGGTCCCTTACAACTGGTCTCACTTTGTTTGACACTGTGCAAATATTGGATGCAAAATTGATAGTGTGATTGCTTCTGATAGTTACAGGACTGAGTACATGTACAACTGTAACTATCACTTTACTTACAGTTACTTGAAGATGCTGTCTCTCAAGATCTTGAAGAAGTTTCTGAAAAAAATCAACTGATGGTGGTAGACAGTCTAGTATCCGCCATGCAAGGTTGAAGCTGTGCTTCACAACTGCACCATCAACTGGCCCTGAATGATAACTATCTCCTGGGTGAGATCCCACCATCAGAAACTTGATCATTGCTGAATAAAAGTCCTTGTAGTTTTGACCATCTCCAGACAAACTTAAAAGTGTAGAGCAAGCCTGAAATTTTTCAATCAACCAAATGCTATTATATTAGTCATAGAAAAGATAAACAAAAAGTCCATGGCAATACAATTTTAAGGTTAACCCTTTAACTCCCAAAATCTGATTGCTAATTCTCCTTTCTGGCTGCTACACATTTCCTGAAAATTAGTTGTGTGAATATGGTATTACATTACGATAACAGCTTCTAACTGATAAGTTTGAGTAGTTTCATGACCTGTTTGTTGGATGATACTTAGATATTACAGGGAGAGATTACATGTTAATCACTTTTGGGAGTTAAGGGGTTAAGTCTTGCTAGCCTTCTGTCATTACTGGCAAAGCTTATCCTGGTTTCATTGGCATGAAGCAATTAGTTTTGACTCCCATCCTACAGTAGATGGGATGTGGGTCACTACAGGTAACATCCTGAGTGAAATCTATCATGTATCCGCAACAGTCTGCCAGAATCCATTTATTCTCCAGGGTGAACAGAGTAATTGTGAGAGTAGGGTATCATGCCCAGGAACACAACATAATAACTCAATCAAAGTGCAATTGCCAATCCATTCATTCAGAGGGATACAAACAAAGCCCTGCACCACTGCTAAATAGGGAGATTACTAACAACAGGTCAGCAACACACCTCTTTATCCATGTCATTCCCTGCAAGAACAGATCTTATCTCATAAAATCTGGGCGTCAAACTGTGAGACTTGGGTAACTTGAGCTCATCAGCCAGTAAAGGAACTTTCAAAGAGTCTTCTTCAGAGTTATTAGCAGCATAATACAAAGGTTCAAAGGAATCTGCACAGCCTTGGTCCTCCATAAATCTTGAGTTGGCTGAGGCACAGCTTTGGAATAGGTTATGCTGCACCTAATGTGAATGATAATCCAATACTAATAACTAATACACATAGCTGGCTAATGTCATGTGACTAATTAAAACTACACATCTACTTAAACTGCAATTCTCTTAGGCATAAAAAAATTTTAAAAATTTGTGATATAAATTTTTGTTATGGCTTTTCTTTGCATTAGAATCTGTTACATTTGAATCTCAAACAACTGAAAAACAATGCAATTCAAGGCCCTGGAACTTACCACAGATATCATATGCAACTTTTAAAAAAGGGCAGTCTGTACATATAAGCTTTACATTTCAATTTAGAGCATATACACAAATTATTGTGTATCACAGACCTGTTTAAATAGATCTTCTGGTGGTGCTGACAAATGGTGAAGAAAGTAATCCAACAACAATAAGAGACGACCCAGTGCCAAGGGAGGAGAATGCAATATTGACAATGAGTTGGCAATGGTTATAAGCACGCTGACACAATACGTGATGAGTGATTTACGCTGATTCAGAGAAAAGTTGTGGAAAATGAACAGCAGAAGTTGGAGATGTTCCACATTGAGATCTGAAAGAAAATATGAAATATTTGGGACTGAATTTGCTTAGACTTACAATAACTCTCTGTGCTGACAGCTACAGGTTGGTAGATTCTTTCAGTTTCCCTGTTGCACAATACCCTCTCTTTTCTTTGTTGGGACTCATTGAGTTAAAACAATGGTGCCTGGAGTAGGGAGTTATGCCTGGGTTGGAAGAATCTTCCAGCAACAACCATGATATTCTTTTTCAGATAAAGCTAGCCTTAGCCACCCCCCCTTCAATTTGTTACTTTTACTGACATTAATTTTATACTAGCTCAAAATAAAAATCTTAATGAGCATTTTGAGCCTCCAATAGAATTCCTGTGCTGCAAGAAGGTAAGACTTATTGACCAATAGCTGGAATGAGCAAAAAAGGTAAAAATAGCAAGAATTGGCTCTAAGCATACATATACAGCAAGAGGAAGACTAGATGTGGTCTTTCAATCTCAAATGGTTTTCTCACTGTGTCCACAAGGAAAACAGTTTTCTGTAAAGTAAATTACACCTCCTTATGACTAAAACTTGTTACTAAAGAAGACAGATGGAAATGATTGAAAAAACCAACTAGAGTTGACGCAATACAATTATCATGAACTACAATGAATAAATCCAGTAACAACCAATGATTGAACCAGTGAAATCTGTCACATTATGCTGTGAGTACTACACTGCATATATCCTGTATGTAGAATACACATTGTAGAACAAATCTGATTGTGCAGAGGTACAATGAATTAACTCTTTAACTCCCAGCATCTGATTGTTAATTCTCCCCTCTAGCTGCTACTCATTTCCTTGTTAATTAGTTGCGAGAATTTGGTGTTAGGTCAAGATGACAACTTCTACCTGATACATTTGAGTACTCTCATTACCTGTTTGCTGGATAGTGTATGGATATTGTTGGGAGAAGTTACATGTGAATCACTGCTGAGAGTAATTTAAGCAGCATGTAACTCAAACATACTGTACCTGGAATGGTAGGTGGAGTAAAATCCTCACTTGTGAGACAGTAATCTTTAAGAGTGTCAATCAACCTTTTCCAAACATTAATGCATTCTTCAATATCCATCCCAGTACAAGAAATTTGCAAGGCCTTCTGCTGTCGAGCCAGTAACACCCTAGCAAGGATACCCAGACAACGCTGACTCACTTTTAATGGCCATGGTCCATGACCCAGAGGTGCCAAACCCAGATGACTGAGGAAAACATCCTGATAGAAAAGAATGTGTTGCTAATAATCAACCTGTGAACTTTTCATTGACCTTGGTAAGCAAGAACTACAATCTGAGACTACCACAGTCAACAAACACTATTTGAATGGCCAATTTTAAAGCTTCATCCAAACTAAGCTGTGAAGGACAAAAAGAAGCTGAAATAAACCCAATATTTTCAGCAACTAATTCAAGAGGTTTACAACAATTTCTACACACAAAATCTTCTAAACCTTCCATCTACTTGAATCGAACAGGCAAAAATGTTCTGCCAGATCACACAGGACAATTCCAGTTCCACTGATTTAAAATTACTTGACTGTGTATGACTAGCAATAAATCAAACTAATTGGTCATTTTCAGTAACCAGCCCTTGGACTATGTGACTCATCATACCTGAAAAACATAACATGTACACCGTAAATAAACTTAGCCTTTGTCTCAACTTGCCTGTTGATGCTGTGTCAGCAAGTCTGATACAAGAAGCAGGTGGACCGCCTGATCAACAGCACTGCAAAGCTTGTCCATGTCAACATAACTTGGCATGCTGATCACAGCAAGTTGATCCAGATCCTTGACAACTCCCACAAGCCCAACGATGTGTGTCTCAGTAAAGGAATGGCTAACATACTCTGTCATTTCTGGTATTGAGCTGCTCAATAAGTGTTTGGATAAGAACTGGAGGGTGCATGTTGCTAAGTAGATGTACTGCCAAGAAAAAAAGTTCAACATGAAGTACAAATTCAGATGTAATTAAAGAGAAGTCTCAGCAAGGTATTCTCCACAGTATGTTTAGTAAAAAAAGTCATTTATACTGTACAAGCAATTTGTGACTGTATTTTGCAGTAAGATAGATAGAACTTAGAATCTGTAAACTGTATATATAATATACATATACATATATATAGCTCTTTGGCATACAAAGCTTTGCTTTCATGTCCAAATTGAGCACTCTACTAGGATGAGTCATTGCTGCTAGCATTATGCATGCTCACTAGTTTTTCTAGTTTGAGCACTCTGGCATGGCTTAGATGATCCCACATATGTGAGATCACTTGGGGTGGCTATATTGCCTTACCTCCATCCTAGCATCAGCACTGCACTGATGAGGCCCAGAAGGCCGAAACAGTACTGTCTGCAGTTAGATATAGCTCTTTGGCATACAAAGCTTTGCTTTCATGTCCAAATTGAGCACTCTACTAGGTTGAGTCAATGCTGCTAGCATTATGCATGCTCTCTAGTTTTTCTAGTTTGAGCACTCTGGCATGGCTTAGATGATCCCACATATGTGAGATCACTTGGGGTGGCTATATGGTCTTACCTCCATCCTAGCATCAGCACTGCACTGATGAGGCCCAGAAGGCTGAAACAGTACTGTCTGCAGTTAGTTATATATATATATACAGTTTACAGATTCTAAGTTCTATCAATCTTACTGCAAAATACAGTCACAAACTGCTTGTACAGTATATAAATTATATATATACACATTTAGCAGTTGTGTAGCCATTGTTTTCGAGTGCTTTCCTAATGAGGACCTAACCAGTGTTCACTGTGGCCCAGAATAATGGATGGGGGACTAGGTTGCACAGACCTCCCATTCATAGGTAGCTTTCTGAAAGGGGGGCTAGCTGGACACAGCTTAAGCCCCTTGTTCCCCTGGGCACCCACCCTTAATTTAAGCAAGGATTCTATTGTATTAGATCACACACACCTCCTCAGGTGCCATCTGGAATGACCGTCCAGAGGGTGTGGTCTCTGTCCCACTGTCTCCAACATCTCCACTTTCTGATTTCTTTCTTGTTGGGGGTTGTGGGCTGGCAGATAGAATTGCTGGTGTTGATGATAATGTGTCTTGAAACCACTGACCAAGCAATGATTCTTCATCTAGGTTACAGATTGAACAAATATTATGATATCAGAAATTTTCTTGCTTAAAGTTACCAAGTAAAGGGCCATGCAAGATAATGTTCAAAGTTTCACACCTGGTTATTGATATTAGAACATAGTTATTAGAGTCCAGGCTGAATTCCTAAGTCACCAGCTAGGCTAAAATTTCACAAACAAACAAATTGCAAAGTTTGTCCCAATAATGTGACCCCTTGCTAAATGGAGCCAGCCAGCCAGAACTGCATTGTTAACTGGCTGATTTAAACCCACTTTTGCTTGATTTACCAATGACATTTCTACTTAAGACCACCATAACCCAGACAAACATAAATGTAATCTACATTACATTTGCAACATGATAACAATCCATCCATTTAACATCTTAAGGATGAGAGTTAAACTAATATTTGACTGGTGATAATTGTAACTTAACCCTTTAACTCCCGTGAGTGGTTAAGACAGAATTTCTCCTTACTACAAAATATATACAAAATCATGTTGACAAGTGACAAGAATAAAGAAAAATATCCATTGTGGGATTACTATTTGATAACAAATTAGGATTACATTAACAACTGAGTGAAGAAAGATGGTAAATTTGGGCTCACTTGTTGAAAAAGATAGTTGTTTAAACTTTGTTTCCCCACAGTCTTGTATATATTTATACAATATATTTCTTTGCTTTGATAAGATTTTCCCATAGTTTACAAGTTTACATCAACAAAAGCAGGTACCGGTATAAATTTCAAAAGTAAAATGTACAAAGAACACATAATCATCCAGGTGTTCTTGATCAATGCTAATAATTGAGATTAGTGGATTACAATGAGGGTGCACTCCAATTGGCAACCCAAACTCTAAATATCCTTTCCCATTCACCATCAAGCAATGTGCCCGGGATTTTAGCCTGTAAAAATGTAATTGTTGCAGGAATAAATGAGTTAAAGACCCATAGTACTCTATAATCTCACTTTTTCAGTATAAACTAAACAACTATTAACCTCAGTGTCAGTGGCTTGCTGTGGATATTTACCTTGTGGCTTCATGGCTTGGTAAATATCCACCAATTGCCTCTTCCACTTTGGTGAATATTTGTTAACTTTTGTTAGTGTAAATAACAATGTTAGCATTTCCCACAAGAGATGAAAGCACAGTACCTTCACTGCTCCCATCAGAGTAAGAGATATATTCACTGTCCCCTTCATCTGATGATGTGGCTGGAGATTTTGAGCTGTCTGATTTGGCTGAGCTTGGTCGTGAGGATGCCTGACCTGCTGATACTGTTGGAGTGATCATGGCAGTTGCCTGTTGATATTTAACAATCAAGATGTAAGGTTAAAAACAAAAAAATATAAACTAATCAGAACTAAAAACAAAAACAACCTCTTAAACAATTCATTCATCTCCATCATTTTCATAATCTTTGAGATATTCAACTCACATAATAAATTATTTAACCACATATGATACCTGTAAGCATACACAATTTTACAACAGTAGGCACCAAAGGCAGGGGCTCATACAGGGTATGGTATAAGTCAAGCAGAAGGTAAGATGTGCTGCTAGTTATTTAACCTTTAAATCCCTTAAAGAGTATCTGGCTTCTAGTTTCTTCTTACAGTATCACCATTGAATAAAATATAAAGGTCATGAGAGTAAAGGAAATAATCACCAATTTAAGAATTAAGTCCCTGACTGTCAAACAAATTCTCCTTGTCAGCACCAGAGGAAATGCATAGAGAAAAGAGTGGAGAATATGCCTACCAATGGTAGGGGGTAAAGGGTTAAATGGATTGGTGTGCCTTACCATTTTGTACAAGGTAGAGAACTGTGCAAACAGGTAATTCAACAGAGGCAGTTCATCCATTAGCTTTGTCACTCTCTTCCATGCAGAGCAGCGCGAATTGACAGAGAAGTCAGACCCAACTGAAGAATGTCTATCTTCAAGGTCTGTCAGTAATCCTTCCACTTGCAGCTCTTCCAAAAGTGAAGACAGGAGAGTGATTCCACGTGAGGCAAGCACAACCACCAGTGTGTTCACTCCCTGTAGCCTTTAATGCAAATGAACAAAATTACAATGAAAATTTGCATTTGAAGATTTGAAAAACACTTACCTCCCTTTCTACTCAAGTGATTTTGTAAATTATAACCAATGCTGAGTAGAATGAACAAGTCATATAAATTATGTTCAACATTCCCCCTTCAAGACAGCCTCTGAGGCTTTGGTTCATTCAAATAAATTCCTGCCCCCTCCCCCTCCCCCCATGCAACAAAAAATGTCTTCAAATGCCCCATCCAATTTGTTTGAAAAAGGCAAAATCAGCCACCATGGCTTTCTACATATTGACCAAGCTTTAAAACCTAAACCTTTTCTTCTGAGCCATTCTCTTGCCAAAGTAAACTATTTGCCTTAAAAACCTCCATATTTAAAGATATTATAAAAGCACTTTAGTTCCACTGGAAAGAATTGTTCAAATTCCCCACCCCCTAGGCATGGACAATGGTCAAATACCCATGGGTTGTCCAGGGGGGATATTGAAGCTTCAAATTGATCAGCATATTACAAAAGAATCAAACAAGTTTGTTTTTTACCAGGGTTGTCAAAAAGATTCTGCACCAATTGCTACCTTATTTTGACAACCCTGTGTCCTTCAACACTGAGTTATGCTCAAAACCAATAACACCAATCATCTCTCCTTCAATCAAAAGAGTGCTTGTCTAATGAGTATTTATATTAACATAACCATTATAATTTCAAATGGACACCAACCATTTAAATTTAGAAGCAGCACTCTCCTTGGATGTACTATCCTCAGCAATAAGTCCCAAAACAGGAAGAAGGCTTTGAATAATCCTGTGTGCCGCTAGCATGTGAACATTCTGCAATACCTGACCTCCAGCCCGAGATGAGGATTGTATTACTCCGCATATCACATCAAACACATTGATCTACCAAGATATGATAAAC